GAACGGGCACGCACGCCAAAGAACCGAAAAGTGATTCAAGTCACAGCCGAGAGAAATAAAGGAGGGAAGACAGAAGCCTACATCACACAAGTCCACCATGAAAGATGGTTCCCTGATGAAAAGAGGCAGCAGTAAACACCCTTGTTTGGCAGACCTGGAGGAAGGGAATGGAGGGGGGAGTTGGGGATGGGGGGGGGTTAAGAGACCGACGTGCCCTGCCAAGGCGGCGTCCATGACGAGCTGCGCCACCTCGTTAAACCCGTCCGCAGGAGTCACAGGCAGATGCTCTGCTTTTTCTATGATAATGGCCGTGCTGCTAAGCGGCGGCGGCGGCAACGCTTTCACGCTCCTTTGAATAACCGCTGACCTCAAAGCTGTCACTCGGTTTCGCGCCAGCGCTGGTTCCCGCCTCGCCACGCTCACGAGGGGCTTGTTTTAATGCAGGCCCTCGATGCGTGAGTATTAATCTGAATCAAATAAAAAAAATACCTTTCCTGGCGGGATGTGGTATTTATACGTTTGTGTGAAGCTTCTGCGCTGCATGTGGGAATTAGATCGAGGAGCCAAAGATTCGTGATCACCAATTGAGCCTTAAGTTCTTTTAAAAACAGGCTCCCCAGACTGTGCAAAGTGGCATAAAGGATATGAAAGTGTTACCCATTAATGCACATTTATTCACCCTTTTACATTTAGCAGACCCACCGCTGTCAAGCATCAAAGCGCAGTCAGCCCACGGAGCCACAAGTCTTGAGGAAGTAACCAGGGTGAGGGCGAGATGGAGGGGGAAACAGAGAGCTAGACGGAGGAGAAGAGAGCAGCAGCTCTCTGAGGGATTAGCTCATTTAGACGGCTTTGATCTGTGAGATCTTAATTGCCGGGTAGCACTGATTGAGTCCTCACAGCGACTTAGCAACACACTATCCATGCAGGGAGTGAGGCGGGTGGTCTTGTACTTACTTCGTCATCCTTATTTTATTTTTTATTTTTTTCTCTTGATAAACTCATCCCGATTCCTGGACATTATCTTTTTTAATTGCCTGTCTATTAATGACAAAGAATAAGCGTCCGCGGTCACAGCAACGCTGAAAGCTGCATCCTAGAACGGTTATATGACAGCAAAGGAAAGATCACTCAGATTTGTCAGAATCCAAATTGTATGTCTATGCAGCTAGCAGATGCAGATGTATATTTTACTGGATAACTGACCAATTTAACCAGCTGATTGCGCCAGATACGCCTTCCTAAACAACCCAGCTAATTACAGAATGACTCAGAAGACCTTTCCCAGAAACGATCTGATCTTCCACTGGGATCGAAGGGATACAGTTGAGATTTCTAATGACGCTTTGGAGTTCAGTGAGGAAGAGCTTTTCTCTAATTGAATTTCTGCTTTTTCAGCCACCTGTAACCTTATGTTCCACCTTCACAGAGCTCCTTTTGTTCTCTCATTCTTACTCCATTGAATCTGGCCAATCATCATTCTTCCCAAATTCCATGAGGTAATCCAACTTTGGATGCTGGGCTTGAATTGTGTTTGTGATCCTCTGGACACTGCTCAGAGCCAACCACATCACTTTTAATAACTCATTTTTGGTCAGAATACTATGCTGGTTTAAATACCTTGCATTTGAAAGACATTTTGAATTCTACCTTTCTTCTATAATCTCTCCTTATTTAATCTTCATGGTTAAAATAAATCCCCTATGACAGAAGATGACAGACGAACGAAGTGGACATTCACTATACTGTACCTGAGAGATTGGCGGAATCAGAAAGGTTCTGCAGATTTTAATCAAATGGATTTTTTAAGTCTCCGTAAAAATGATATCACAGTAATAGTATTCGGTAAGTAAACTTCTGATTTTTATAGCATTATAAGGCCATTGAATAGTTTGTTAGCTTCTATGGGATGTTTTTACTCTGTACATTGTTCTCTGCCGTCATAGTTTTAGATTCTGTAAGGGTTGTCGGTCACAAGTCAGCAGTTGAATACAAATCTCACAGATAAAGTCTTTCGGAGAGTCGAGCCCTTTTCAGAGGAACGGAGAGCTCACCGTATTTGAGGGCAGATTCAGCTTCTGCTAAATCCCTGTTTAAACCCCATATAGAGATCCAGAGGGGCTGACTGGCAAAGACGAGGGGTTAAGCAGATCATTCAGACAGATGAAGATGATGCATGGCTTCCTCCCCTCTCTCCGTCTGCCTTTTGTCTCCCTCTCTGTCTCAGATCCACACACATATACCCCGACACAGCTTCCCCTCTGCACTTTATCTACTCCGAGAAAGCTTGCACACCCATTTCTCCCTCTCCCTCTCCCTCTCCCTCTCTTTCTCCCTCTCTGGATGCTGTCCAACTTCCCTGTCGTTGTCTTTCATCTCTTCGGCTAAGACAGGAACGGGCAGATTAAAGAGAGGAAGCGAATTAAGGGAGCCATTCTTCCTCCCTCTTTGTGACCGGTGTGGGGGGGAGTGGGGGGTTACGGTTAGCACAGCAGAGCCCTCCCTCTGCTGAGTTTGGTCATTAGAGAGGCTATTCTTAGAGGGGGGGGAGAAGCCTGAGGGAGTGTTTACAATTCCAAGATATTTCTTTTGAAAACCATAAAATACAAAAAAAATCAGTTAACACGTTCAATTATTAAGTCTTTTATAACCGTAGATGGAGAAACTGACAAACATGCCAAGCAGCACTAATGATTAAAACAGGTAGACAGCAGCTAAAAAACAGCGCAGACATTAAATCACAATTACTGGATTTTAAAAAAAGACGAGAAATTGTTTAAAGGATTCAAAGTAATCCATTTGTGAAATGTCATGGCAATAAAAAAATGTTGGAGGAAATGCATAAACTGTATCCAAGAAGAGGAAGATGCAACCGTCTAACATTTAGTGAGCTAATAAATCAAGTGAGAAATCGGGTCATTTTCTCGTGAACTTCTGTACAATTGGATTCCTATTTGGAACCAGACGAGTCGCCTCCTGCTGGCCATTAGAAAGAATGCACGTTTAAGGCACTTTCACAGCCTCAAAGATGTGAACCCTGATATTCTCTCCTTAACAACCTTCCTGTTTGTAAAAACATGTGTATGTATGTTAATATAGAATCTAACACCTGACTTGTCTGACGCAGCGGCGTGCAGACTGAGCTAGAACCACAGAGCACTCATTTACTCCTCGACAGGTGTGACGTTTCCCTCCAAACAGAACAAATGCATTGGTAACAGGTGTGGTGGTTTTGATTAGTGAAAGGTGTCAAAATGACCGAGAGAGTAATAGACAATGTTGAAAATAGTTTGCATATTGAACATTTTGTGTTCAAATTGAAGTATTGAAATCTTCACAGCGTTGACATGTTCCTGTAGCGCAACCTGCTTTCTGTTGACCTTCTTTACTCTTCCGATTGTTTAGCCATTATTTGAGCGCCGTCAGTTCTCCGCTGCACCTGCCCAACTCTGACAGAAGCAACCATAGTTTGTGACGCACCCGCAGAGCTTTTGCTCCTGCAGTGTAACATCTGTCTGAGGGAAAATAACTGATTGAATTTAAAAAGTACAATTCATAGAGTATGCATGAATTAAATATTGATGTCTCACGCACATGGTTAGCGGGATGTTAGGGTTTGAAGGAAATGCCCTTGTGCTACCTTGCTCTACAGTGAACAGATGTTACATCACCTTTGAATCATTTATTCTGAACCCCCCCCCCACAAAAACTGCAATAAAAAGAAAAATCTCTGGAATGTACAATGCCTCTCTGTTCTTCGGTGAATGATCAAAAGATGACGCGGCATGCAGTAAAGTATCGACCTATACTTCCAATTAGCCACACCATCCATCCCACACACATGGCCTTTAAAAAAGTATTTGGCTTATTGCTTTTGTGCATTTCTTTTTCTCTCTGGCAGGTTTCACATGTGTGAAGCCAGACTGAGCCTCCCTCTTCCCTTTTGCTGCCATTAAATAGGATTGACCTGAAATATCATCAAAGTGTGTGTGTTCCGTCTTCCTTTTGATAATTATTTCTATTCACGAGCAATATCATAGGGCCACCTGTTTGGTCTTCAATGAATACTTTTGAATATTTATTTCAAAGCAATTATTTAACTACTCTTGCTGTAAGTTATTTGTAAATTAAACATATACATTAGCTACAGACATCAGCCTTAGTTTTGTCAAAAATTACTAGAAAAAACTACTAGAATATTTTACTTAAGTAACATTCACCAGATATTTTCTAAAATGTTGGCTATAGTTTGTTTCAAAGACCAATTCACTAATAAAAAAAGTGCACTAAAATGTCACCATGTGCTGATCACAACAGAGAGCCCGTGTGTTTTTACCAAATTGCTTTCCCATTGCTGCTCTTTGCACCCTTTGCAAATACAACCACCTGACAAGTTATTTCAGTGTAAAGCCAAACTGGACTTAATTACCAAAGAGGACAAAAAATGGCCTATGCTGAAATGTCAATACGCCACACATAGGACAGGCTGAGACAACACAGAGTTTAACAAACAGCACAATGAGGGTCGCAATTTAATCACAACTTCTAATGCATGCACGCACATGCACACACACACAATGCAACCTTCCTAAACAATATTGATGTTTTTGCTCTGGAGTTACATCATCGCCATGTTTGTTTTACTCACCTGTCTGTCTGACGGCTCTGTGGGAATCCCGAGTCCCGACTTCTATTATGTGATTGTTTTCATTCTGCACGGAATATCACGAAGAATGTACGAAAGTATAATCAATGAGGATAATACGTATATAATAATAATAATAATAATAATATAATAAATACTAATTCGGATTGACTGCCAGTAACCCGCAGAGTCTCCAGGAAATCTCTTCATATGGAACAAACAGTGGTGGAGTTTGTCGTTTTACATTTGAGCAGGAGGGAACAATTGAAGTTTTTACATTTTCGACGCCCTTCCGTACAATTAAGATGCTTTTAAAAGAAGGTAGTGATTCAAATAAGCAATGATTGATAAGAACTCTTACACAATAGGAATAAAATCTTTATCAGTGATGGATTTACACTTTAAACAACATTCAGCCACAACTACTTTGTCCCAAGATGTCTCGCTCTATAACCAAACCGTTCCTTCCTTCTTTTCAAACAGTGTTGAATCTTTTTAGCGATTGCATTTAAATATCACATATCACAAATACCACCGTTTATTGTCAGTCCAGTGATTTCAACTGTTAAAAGTCTTTGACAGAACGCTGAGTACAAAACTAGTACAAAAATCTGTGCGGCGGCCATGTTCCGACAACAGTCCAAGCTCCTCGGCTGCTGCACTTCAATTAGGCGAGGTACCTGGACGCTGCGCTGTCAGCAGGATCCGTGTTCCAGTCGTGCGACTGAGTCGCCCTGGTATTGAAACGCAATGGCAGCGAAGGCGAGTCTCACACCAGCCAATGGAGTCATCAATAATGAGACAAGGTGAGCTGAAAGAGTGGGTGAAGGGTTATCTGGCTACAGCACACGCGCTTCCCATGGGGCCGCAGGGAGTGTGTGTGTGGAGGGGGGGGGGCAGACGGGGACCACAGAGAGGCAAGATATGGCCCGACGCTCCTGGAATCTGTGATTGGACATCTGCTCTGTGTGAGAGTCTGTCAGAGGGCAGGAGAAGGTCTTTGAGCGCATCTCCGCTTCCTCTTTAGTCTAACACTTTCATCACAGAGATCTGACTTGCAGGGCCCGCCGAGTGTCTGAGGAGCACGGCACTCGCCGCTAAACGGACGCTGACGGCACTCGTGACGGCACAAAATCAGTCCTCTTCCTCCACGTAGGTCGAAGGGAACCAGCCCATCTTAGAGGAGACAAAACAGGCAGCGTCAAATATATATTCAACAGGATATATATTTTTTATGAACTTATTTTTATTTCCTCACTGTTCCTCCCAATTTTGAATGAGCCCCCAACTCTACTCTTCGTTGATCTTACAGTAAGGATGTTCATTATGCACACACATACAGAGAAGATCAAAACCACTCTACATGCCGCTGCCAAGAACACTTACCGTCCTCAATTATGTCCAACATATAAAACTTCATCATGGTCAAAAATGACTGATTGAACTTTAATCAGTTTAAATACTGACATGTTTGTTACTTCGCTGTCATTTACTGCAATTAAGACAATTAAACCTGCATAACACTTAAAAAAAAGGAAGTAATCTTGAGATAAGAGGCCATGTTCTTCTTGAACGTAAACACAAGGATATTTGAAATTTCCATCAGTATATAATGAGAATTTCACTGAAGATAAATTAATAGATTTATTTAAACATGTTTGGAACATTTCCAAACCTTACTTTTGGTTCTGAGAGGGTATAAATAAATAACTTGTATTTAAATGAACTGACAACAAAACATTAGGCCACAACACATTTGTAAATGTAGTTCTACAATAGCTGCTACAGTACATTTAAAGACCCCAGATGGCACAAAACACCAAAGTAAAGATTAAATGTATAAATCTTTTTGCCACAATGACAGGATCCTACAGCAGACCCACCCGGCCGTCGATCTCTCCCTTCCACCACCCGTTGGACATCTTGGTGTAGATCTTGATAATGTCTCCCTGCAGCAAGGAGAGCTCCCGAGTGTCTCTGGAGCAGAAGTCATAACGTGCCACTGCGACGCCCACCACCCTGGGAGAAAACACTGGGACAGAGGCACCTTGCGTCACTACATTTCACAGAGATTCTGATGCTCCCAGACATTTAGAATGATCTCTATAATTGTGCAGCTCTCTCCTCTCATTGGTCCACGTTGGACCACATATAATATGAAAGTAACCCAAAGGTATGTTGCATAGATGCGCTTTGATTTGTCATCTTTGGGACACTTCAAATGGAAGGTATGCTTGCTGACTAATTGGAAACTTTACTTTGAACTGATCATGATTTTATATTTGAACACAACTTTGACAAAAAAACATTTTTTGACTGATGGAAAGTTCACAGGATAAACTCGGCTCAACGTAATGCTGTTTCTCTACAATAGTATATTGTCATTATGGGGCTTTGCATGTTTGTAGTCTGTATGAGGTTAATAATACAATGACATAAAGCACATTTCTCACAGGTACCATCCGCAGTAAATTGACTATGTCTCATCTCTTAAGGACGATAAGGAAGCAAAGAAACTCCAACTCTTAGGCCCGAGTGTAAAAGCAAACAGTCATAAGGGAGAAATATGTACATATGAAACATGCACAGTAAAAAAGAGAAGGCATTGGTTTTTCATCATCATGTCTGGCCCAATTAAAGTTAACGTTGAATGCAGCGCTTATCAGGTTGTACAAGGTTATTCCTGCACGTGCAGGTCGGGGCCTCACGTCAATTGGGAACGCAGGTGTGCGTAACTTTGTTTACCTTACCTGTGAAAAATAGAGGTGACACAGCTGGGAATATATGGTGGATGAGAGGAATACACCCCCCCATGCACAAACAGGCGCATCATGCCAACACAGATGCTTAAGCACACACACACACGCATGCATGTATATATGCTTATGCACAAAGAGGCAGACATGGACAGAGGTTGACTGTTGTGCTGGATATGTGCCGTAAAATGGAAGAAACGCACACTATTCCAATGTGGGAGCATTTAGAGGCATTGTTAGCTTTATAGTTGCACCTATTTGGGTCTGGTCTCTATTTCTATTGTGTAACATATTTGTTTCAAGACCACTTTTAATTAGTGATTATGTGACAATGTAAATGCAAGCAAAGATGGTAATGCCGATCTTCACATGGGAGACATTGTCAAATTGTCAGAAATTCACAATACAATAAAATACTTTAAAAGAGGGTGACGTGTTTTTCCACGCATTGGCAACTCTCAATATGACGCAAAAGCAGAATCATTAGACTATATTACTTAACAGAGGAAGGAAAAACAAGAAAGTTTGTCTTTGGAAACCTGTAAATGTGGGCACACAGGAAGGGAGAGACAACGTGAGTAGAAAAGATGTACCTGTACCTGACCAGAAAGGCGAGGAGGAGGGAGGAACAAAGCTGCAGCCGCCAAGAGGAACTACAGAGAAACGGAGCAAGTGAGGGCTGGATGGGGGGTTCAGGCCTTGGTGGAAGTCAAGAGAGAACAAAGAGAGAACAAAAGCAAAGTAAGTTTGACAGAAAGAAAGTATGAGAGAGGGTAATAGAAAGAAAGAGAGAGAGAGAGAGGAAAAGTTGGTCAAAGAACAAGCAAAAAGCAAAGACTGTAGCAGAGAAGAGTGAGGGGGGGGGGGGGCAAAAATGCTGAGACAGCATCTGCGGTTTCAGATACTGACCAATAGAAGGTGGATAATATGTACCGGTAGTTAACATCGATACTTAACTTAGAACCATATCGATTTATTCATGTACTATGGTCTGTTTGTTTAAAAAAAATATACAGTCTGAACGACTAGTTACTGGCTGATGTTCTTGTAGCTCAATGGGAACAAAACCCTGCAACCAGGTCTCAAATATTGCTGACGGCCTCCTGGGAGAAGTCGGTGCTGTCAGCATTACGTAGCAGCATATCACGTGTCCAACGGTCTGCATACCTTTGGCTGAGTCGTGCGGCCTCTGTAATCTTCCCCCAATCTTACTGCACACCGCAGCAATAACACCGTTTTGAGCGAGCAAAAGCAGCAGCATGTGGGGGGTTGGGGCGGGGGGATAAGTATATGTTTAGGCACAGCACGTCGCCCTGACAAAGCCAGCCAACGACTTCTGTTTCCATATGAAATCCCATCGAGCCAGCGGACCCTTCCACTCAGAAAACCACCTGCTGTCATCACAACCATATGGTTCGCTGAGTTTTTCCTCTTCCCCACACGGATTAGTGAATGCAAGCCAGAAAGGTGTCAACTGTTTGTCTGACCGGAGGGCACGCAAACAGCTATACAAACACCTGTAGCGTGCAGGAAGTGTATACAGCAAAAACATAAACAATATGTAAATAAAATATAATATAATATATATAATAAAAATATATATAGTATGTGTGCAAAATGATTTGATACTACACTTGATACAGTTCAGTATGATCAAAGTAAACTTTTGCTTTTTTATCCTTTTTTTTGCCATATTTTGTAAAGCGTCGACTCATCAACCTAAGAGAACATATATCTTAAAATCCAATCCCTAACATTCAAACACAAATATAGACGGAACAAATTAAAGATGCCGGCTTCGCTTCCTCCAGACAAATCACTCCAAAGTTTTGAGGGGTTTTCAATAGTTCTGCATCTTCTGATCGTTTGCTCAGCCTTGCATTCTGTTTTCTTTGCTTTGAGGTGTCTGATTTGGGATTCAAACCATTGTGTGTGTGTGTGTGTGTTTGTGTTTTTTGGTTTTGGCATGACATCTGTCTTTCCACGTAGGCTGTTTACCAGACAGAGAACGCGGTGCCCACACTAAGTCTGTCTATGGGGGTGGACGACTTAAGGCAATAATAATCTATCCCAGAATGCATTGAGGATCTGTCAAGGCTTTCGCACAGAAGGAAGCGCGGTGAATGGCAGCGATGCACAAACACACACCTCTCGCAGAGCTGCTTTGACGCCCGATGCGCTGGTGAGACCGTCGCTGCCAAAGGAGGCAAAGAGGGACACGGATGGAGCAGAATCTCACATCCGAACAGACACAAAAGGCTAACTTTGACTTTGTTCCTGTGTGCGTCTGCTTGCTTGCTGCTGCTGCTGCTGCTGCGGCGGCGGCTGCTGTGGTTGTTTACGTGCACGCCTCAATTCAAGTTATGACAGTTTACCTCCAGCAGCTTTCCGCTCTTTTACATCAAAATTATATCTGCAAACTTTTCACAGTTTTTTGCGGAAAACAGGCGCAGTCCCTCCGTTGGACCGGGGGTATCCCCTAGGTGTGTGTCAGCAGCGGGCCTCCTCCGCCCGCCAGCCCGAGTGAAATGACATGTCCTGTCAGGAAAATCGGGAAGCCGCCTCGGAGCTGAGCGGCATGTGGAGCGCGACGTTTGGAGTCGCAGGCTCCTGGTGCTTTGCCTGGGGCGTCGGGGCCTAACAGGGACCTCTCTGCCGAGCCGACTGAGCAGCCATGGCTCCTTTCTACTTCCTTGACTCGTTGTCTCCCCCACTCCTTCCTCGGTCTTTCTGTTTCTCCGACCCCTCCCCTATGTGCCCCCACACTGACTTTTAGCTCCATTCAGACTGGGTATTAACTGGGAAACAGTGGTGGAAAGATGTTGGTCTGCTTTCTTGCTGGGACTGCTTGATATCACCCTGATGGTAATTCCTTTGCTTAGCATAAAAAGAATATTGGCCAAATGACATGTGTGTGTTTTAGTCCCGCTTTACACTAAGCTAGGGTTAGGGTTAGGGTTAGTATATATCATTATCTGTATTTACTGGGAAGACAGAGTGGTATCATCCAACTCTTGGTTAGTTGAAACAAAAACATGAACTCTATTACAAAAAGCTTCAGATGACCCTTTTAGTGTGGCCGTTGTCTTTTTACTCAGAACCCCCATTTCTATCTCTTTCATTTTCTTTACTCTCGCTCTACCTCCCATTTCTCTCACTGTTTCCCGTTCTTACATCATTTCCTTCCTCCCTTACTACAACCTTTTTGCCTTTTCCACCTCTATGATCCGTCTCTCTCTCTCTCTCTCTCTCTCAAGACACCCAATTCCTAACCCGCCTCTTCCTGTATTCTGCTTCTTCCATAAGACCTTTCTCCTTCACGTGCCTCCTCAGAGTGAATGACCATCTGCTTCTGTGTCCGACCAGGCTGATATCAAAGATGGTACTTTTCCTTTTACAACCAACCAACCACTCTTTCGTACAATTGACTCTGTAACAGTTGAATCAACTTTTTGTAGTGTGATTTCAACTCTGCACTTTGCAGTTTGCCTAACTCCGGAAAATTAACTCTAAGAATTTTGCTGTGTGGTGGCAACCCTTTGCCTCTGCCAAATGTGGATGTGTTGTGAAGCAGACTCACTGCCAGCTCTGGTAATGGCCTTGGGCAGGCTTCCATTGGACAGTTCCCTGAATGGGACCTGCAGATTGGTGTCGAGACTGCTGAAACCCTCCTTTAATGAATGCCGCCTGTAGTATTCCACCAAGTCCTGTGTAAAACAAGCACAAGGAAAATGAACATATCCGTAACAAGAATAATGCAGTGAGTGAGGTAATCTCCTAATGAATGAATGAGTGTACTCATTAATGCTACAGTAGTACAGTCAATCCATGCAAAGTTAAAACCTTTACCAGCACAGTCTTGAACAGCTGACTCTCAGCGATGTAAAAGCAGCCGTCCTTGGTCAGAATCTTAATGTGCTTGACTTTATCGTTGAACCTGTGGAGGATGAATAAGACATAGGCTGCTAATCAACTATGGATGCTTCCCCATCAATCCAGTCTCTATGGTGAACAGTCACGAAGGTCCGTCTCAGAGGACTGCCGGTTGCCACGCTGAGCTGCGCCAAGCAACTTTGTTCGACAAGAACATCTCCGGTTTTCTCTGCTGTGGAAATAAGATCCAACACACTCTAAATCTTATAATAATGGAAACATTCAAGGATTACTGAGCTTATAAAGTGAATTAATATATTGTTTTGGAAGGTAAACCACTCAGCTTTTAAATAATACTGTTTAATGCACACCAAAAGAAAACACAAAATCAAATCAGCAGCAGAAATGTATTTTGTAAAATAACGAAATGTATGGTTTTAATCCAATAATGGTTTCTTTGCTAAACATTTCAGTAGTGTAGACAAACTGTTCAAAGTAGTAGTAATGGGCTGATTAGTATCATGTGTGGATGGCCGCTAGCTGGTGCTTTCCGTAAATGAACTACAAAGTAGGAATTTCTGAATTCCCAACCTCGCCAACCTGGACTGAAAATGCTGCTCTGCGCGTGTTTCATTCGTGTCTCATTACCTTTCCAGCAGTCCTCTCCGCCATCGACCTATTAAAATGTGGCTATAGTGTTTGTATGTGCAAAATACTACATAATGTCATCTCATCAACTGGTATTCCTTACAATGGCTAACCTGCGTGGTACTGGCAATGTTAACTTCGGACTTGTTTTGATGTCATTCCCAGATCCATTCTACCATAAAACGGAGCGTCTTCCATAACATCTACTAAATCTACAGTCTATAATATCTGCCGAGCAAATGAAGAACCTTCTGTATAAACTGTAAAATATGCAAAAGTCCACACCGGTGTAATGTCACCGCCATTATATAATTAGTACCTTTCACGGAAAACATCACCTTACCAAAAAGAGCTGCTTACTGAGCTCAACTATATCGAAGTATAATAACTGTAAAATCAACCTTAGAGTATGTGAGAGTGTATGCTATAGGTTTAATTAAAGAATGACCTTTTCGTTGTCAACTCAATACGAGAGTTGCGTACCGACCTTGAAAACACACACACACGCCGTTCAGTGCACATACAGTCGGCTTCAATGGGGCTCTACTGTCATGCCAATCGAAAGCACAATGTTGAATATTACACTTCCACCTGGTGATGTACAAGTTACACTGAAAAATTGATCGGCACTGTAAATCTCCCAGTGCAATGTATAAGGCACGAGGAGCATATGATCGTGTTGCAAATTCACATACAGTAAACATTATTAATACATGGCGAGCAATACATTATTGATTTATGTTGAGTTATATGGAGCAGAACACATGGAGACGGATGAGGTTTGGTGAGTATTCCCTTCCTCCAATAGGCCCCCAAGGCTGCGCACGCAGACACACACGAAAGTCATTCAATGCACGCACAAAGTGTGTGACACTTCCAGAGGATTAGTAGCAGCTCACATGTAAAGCTCCATTATCGGAAGCGACCATTCTGATAACGATCTTAAGCAGTGAGACGGCCAATTAGGATTGGGTTGGGTTGGGAAAGCCGTCTTGTTCATCCCAGTTTTGAATGAGGGACGGTGTGAGTCAACCAAATGGGCCGGAATGGTGTGTCACCGACTAAACAGTCTAACATCCAAACACTAGGAGGGCAGCCTCAATCACGACAATCTCTTGGAGCTGTCATTTCGAGTCGGGGGACTTTTCTTTTTTTTTTACGACGGGACGATCTTTGATGCAGCCTGAAAGATATTCGCCGGTTAAACGGCCAGTGTTGTATTTCAAAAGACGGCTACGGATGCACTCCACTTGCAGATAAAGCAGCCATGTGTCGAGACCTAAAAGGATGGATGACTTATCTTGAACTCCAACGCATCTCTAACCTCTTTTTGAAATACATTTCTCAGACTGACAGCCAAAGATCAAAAAGTACGATGCAAAGCTATCGGGCTCTCCTTGATCACATGTCTGGGCAGAATAAGACGGACAAAAGACAAGACGGTAAAATAGTTAATCTAATTCCACCTCCTCCTCATGCTACATTCAGCGGAGCCGCGTCAACAGAGCCGACCGTCGCGGTAAACTAAAAAGAACCTCAACAATGTTTGGCATGATGCAGGTTCAAACAAACCCGGTACACAGATGTATTCAAACCGGTGAATTCTCAAATCATCTCAAAAAAGTCTACTTGCAGTGGAGAAACTTTTCTTTTCTTAGGTTAAGGGATATTCATCTCACTGTAACTGAAGCAGAATTTAATCTTTGATTCTCACATGTAGACACACACATGAGACGCTTAAACCGTCCTTCTCAGGCGTTTACAAAATACGCAAGCCTAACTTTAGCAACAGTTGGAGTCAAATCTTAGTAACCCGGTGTGCAAAAACAGTAAACTGCTAAGTGACTGACCAAGAATAGAATTAAAAGCAAAATCATAGATTACTTGTTTTGAATTGAGGTTGATCCCAAACAGGAAATGCATTAGCTGACGTTATGGCAAAAACATCATGCTGCTGCAGCTTCATATGACCATGAGAGTTCGGTGACAAAGACATTAGTCTAATGCACTTAATTGATTCTATTTTAGCTCTCATGTGAGCTAAAGGTACTAAAGTAACTTCATGAGTAGCAATACTTTCTGACTCATTGCACCTTCTTCATCAAACCCGAATCCTATTTATCAATCTAGAGCTAACTTTTCATTCTGAAAGTTAAATCCTCTGATAAATGTCGTAAGATAATTACTGCAAACCGTTCATTTTCAGGGGCCCTGAGTTAAACAAACAAGAGCATGAAACAACATTTCTGTAAAGAACAGCATGAACTCCTTCTGCTGCGGCCCATCCATTTTTTTTTACATTTGATCAGCTGCTTGTTTTCATACACAACACCATTGTTGTGCTGAGCTATTATTTGCATGTGGGCATTTTTTTTTTTTTGCTTGAATGATTCTCGCCTCTCTGAGTAAGGTGTTTCTAGCCCACACTGCTGCTGACTGTACGTGTTTTCTTTATTCCGCCGTCATTGGTAAACTGCAGCGAGTGAAAATTGTGGTTTAAAATTGAGAAGAGAAGGAAACAAGCCGTCGTGTCACTTACTTTATACTAATGGCGTATTCAGTGCACTCTTTACTCCTGTGTCGAACCAGATACGTGCCGTTGTCCCGGTCCAGCAGCTCCACCTCAGCCTGGTATCTCTCAAAAGGACCTGCAAACCTGAACCACCCATAAACAACTACTGCCCTTAGACTGCAATCAACCATTCTGAACACGAGGATGACAACAGTCAATACAATCAATGAAGAGTAAAAATGATTAGTGGTTGAGCAATCTACAGCCGTTTGTTTTCCCCGCTTACCAGAGCTGTGAAGAGTAATCGACGGGTTTGGGAACCTGGCATGGAAAAGAATTGTGGTTATTTGTTGCTTTTATGTAGTTGATATACGAGGGGTGGATTTCCTTTGTGGTTTCTCCGACATAAAAAGTGCCGTTGAAAAGCAAGGCGTCAATACGAGCAACTTTGCACCAAATGCATCGTAATCACACTAAATGTGTGTTATTGATTACGAAAAGTATGCACACTTACACACGGGCACGGCCTCACAGCGTCACTTGGGAAGAAGCCAATCTTGCTTGTTGCCAGAATTTTTCCCTGCAACAACAACACAGGCTGTTAATCGCATTATAATTGTCTGGGAGCTAATACACTGCTTTCTATCTCTTTCCCTCCTTTCTTCCTTTCTTCCTTTTCTCTTCCCCTCCAAATACTTTGCTTTAATAAATCCTCAGCAATTAGCACACAACCAGCACTACATCTAATTTACAGCGCAAGTTAATTAAGGTTCAAACTCTGCTGGCAGTTAGATTTGTACCGCATCAAAACAAGAGCCTCGTTTAACACTAAATAATGGATCTTATTCTGGTCTTTGAATATCCAAACGGTGACTAACAATTGCATGTTTGCTAACCTGCCTCAAGCACAACACAAGCTTTAAGTGAAATGAATTCATTCCTACAAAGCGCAGAGAGACCTTTTTTCTCGTCTACCACGATTTTCAAACAAACTTTCAAACCTGCACCAACGGATAGACGGATAGATCTTCGGTTTATATATATATATATATATATATATATATATATATATATATATATATATATATATACAGTCTACAATAAGATAAGATCATTTGAGTTACCAGTTATGAGTTCGAGGTCAATTTGAAGTCCATTGAATCCCAATGTGAGAAGACAGTAAGTGTCCAGGGCATATGGAGCTCCTCATTCAGCTTCCTGCCCTGCTTGTGCTTTCCTCCTCACTCCTCTTTATTAGAGTATGAAATGCTTTTTGGGACCGTGCAAGCCGCGGCAATAACTAGATTGTAAAGCGAATCTTTACCCATCTCCATGATTCATTCTGTGTAATAACATTTCATCAAAGGCTTTTTGAGAACCCCTCTCTATTTGTTATGCCTTTGATAAGCGTATGATAAAGATTAAACTTATTACTCTGAAGGCATAAATAGGCAGCCGCCAAAGGATCAAATGAAATTACAGTGATTGATTGTATTGTTCTGCCAGGGGGTTGGGGGATAATTGGCTCCTGGGTAGCAGGGGATATGAATTCTCAATGTTCTGTAATTCCATCCTCTGGCACCACAGGCGACGCTGAAGATTAAAGGTACCCTGTGGAGGTTTCATTATAAACAAACAGGGTTTTCTTTAGATTCAGTGTTTCCCACCAAAACGCATTGTGCGTGAACCTAAGAGCTACACAAACTTGTGCAGAGCACTTGCGTCGCTTTCGTTTTTGCATACGTTGAAAATGAGGTCTTGTTTGTAGTCTTGCTTATCGTCTTCTCTTTTATTTACAACACACTGCAAATACTAGAATGATTTTATAATTCCTCGCACCTGTCTCATTCATATCATTGCAAAGATATATATACTTTGATGGATAGCTTTTTTGTATTATAATTATGCACAGGACACAAATAGGCATTCTATTATGAGCATAATAAAGTTTAAGTCCTTTAATTATCTCCTCCTAGCCTAGTTACCATGGTGACAAACCGTACATCAGGTTTGCAGCATTGCATTCTGTTTGCCGTTCCATCGGCTTACAAGAAGTCTACTCTCATGTCCTCACCCTGCACCTTGTGTCTCTGCCACAACAGAGAGAAACATGGAGCATAGGGAATCAGGCTAACCGCCAACTCCCAGCCGTGCCGTTGGCAAAGACTGCAGTTTGATTGGAGCAGTACCAACTGGAGGATGAAGCTTTAATGCCACCGTAAAGCAGAGTAGGAAACGTTAGGGAGGCTTCCATGAGATCCCGGATAAATCGACCATCCTTTCAAAAAGAAAAGGATAAGGTCAAAACCTTGTCAACCATAAACTGACCTCATGAGACGGTTGCTAAATGTGCCTGTATATGAGGTTGTGCACCAACCATTAAAACATCCTCCAGAGGCTCCAGTATCCGCTGTTTTATTGTCTCAGTGTGACACTCTATTACTCAACTAAAGCCACTAATTGGTTAGATCATCTGTTGAAGGCCGTGATTCAATCTGAGGAGTGAAAGAACAGACATATACCCTATTTTTAATGCAACTGTGCTTCTGAAGAGTTCATACAGAGCTTTGACTGATATTTATGGCTAACACTGAACTCATAATAATACCACATTTATACTTGACAGGACACAGGCCAACCCCTAAATCATTTGTAATTTATTAACAATAATGGCCAAAGGGAGATAAATTGTGGATGTCACCGCATTAATACGTTTTTTTCAAAAGCTTCTGCAGATAGTGGGACACCCAGCGGTAAGAGAGGAGAGAAGACGCGCAGCGCGGCTTCAAACCCGCGACACTGAAGAGACGGTGCGTTATTCTTTCACGGAGTCGCAGATGTTGAGATAAAACCAACATGAGCTGAGTGACACGCACCTGCCACCAGGAGCTGTGCACATCGGCAAACATCAGTTCAATGACATCCCCCGCATGAATGCCAAGTGGGGGCCCGCACTGTGGAACGGGGATGCCACTGTAGTCTCTGATCACCAACATCCTGGGTAAACCTAAAGAGACAGGGAATGAAAACACATTTAGGCTCACACAAAGCGTTTACCAGTCTTAAATACAGCAGGTCCAAGAGTAAAGCACGATTCATTACTTTTAGGTAAAAAACACTGCAACCATGTGTGACATAAAGACACAGGCCCCCCTGATGAGATCTAGGAATAAATATGCTGTGCAGCTGTATTCGGCTAGAAACGGGGAGTTAAACTTTCTGTTTAACTACGTGGACCTCTTACTCTAAATAGAGCAACCAGTGCACTGGTCGACATGTCAAACAATATCTATTTATTTGGCAATTCTGGCCGTTTTTTTTAGTATCATTTTTTACTTTTTTCACCAGTCATGTTGTACAAAACAAATTCCCTTGCTGTCATTGTCTTATGTAACACGCTTGATCCCCAACATGCACATACATGTCTCAATCAGCAGAATGGCACCGTACTAAAAAAGCAGCGATTTACTCTTGCGGGAAATTAACCTGTACACTGCAGCTCCGATCTTTCCTCGGCATAGGAGACAAACACAGCCGAGACCAAACCCCCCCACCCCTCCCTTCCAACTTAAAAGACACAGCCAGACTCACACGGCTGGCCCCCTCAGGCACATCTCCCTGCCAGCCATGGCTCCCCTGCAAAACCAGCCCGGGGGAGCCATTGGCTGACGCTGACCTCAGATGAATTAAATATCTAGCATTCATGTTTTTAATGAGAACAATAAGCACGGCTGTGGCTGTCTTTCTCATAAAGCCCCTTATGGAAATTGATTCAACACAAAGGCACAGCTCAGCGGTGGAGGCCGCGGCATATAGACCGCTGCAAGTGCTTTTCTGCCAGCTTCTCCTCCGCCGTTGTCCTCATAATGATTCCACCCACTCCAATTCATTTCAACGAGGTTTCGGGTTTAGGCATCACGGCATGCGGCGAGAAAAGGGCTTTTTTTGTGCATTGGGAAAAGATTCTTTCTGCATCCTATTGTTAATTTGTTATTCTCATTCAAATATGTCTGTCAAAAGGAGACTGTTGTTGCTTATTTCTTCCTCGGAACCCTGTGTGTGAGCAGGAGGGCTTCATCCTACTTACTTTCTTTATTTAGGTTTGGGGAGTTGAGGAACATCTTCCGACGCGACAACATGTGAAGTTTAGCTTTAAACCACTGTCTACTCCAGGTCTCATGGTGGCCTCCAAACAACTATCTCCTTTTTAAAAAATCTGTCTGCGTTTCTGATCTGTTGCAGAGCCACAATGAAAACAGCTTAAGAGGCGGCACGTTAGGTCTTAGCAGGCTCAACAAAAGTGATGAAGCGGTCAAGCCGTACTGACCTGGGTCTGGTGGTGTGGTGTTTTCCTGTGGGTGAAGAGCAAACGTGAGAAAGAAAAGGCAAGGAGAGATTAATGGAGGGGCAAAGAGGATATAGAGAGGCCGTTTTGCAGGTACAGTCTGACCTGAAGAATATGTCAAACTTTTTGTATAATCATCTGTGTGTTATACTCTTTAGATGTGTGGTCTAACCATTTTGAAAGTGAAAGACAGACATCAAGAAAGTGAAATCATTATCCTTATTTTGTCTACAACGCACCAGGGAATCATAGAGGGTTCGGTTATTAGATTAACACAAACTAAAGAAAGAAGAATGTCTGCGAGTGAAACTGTTGTGAGAAGTGTTAAAGTAGGAAGGTCATTTAGCCCATCATGGGTTTTGAAAGTAATCATTTGTGTGGACAATAAGATACACAATGGTGAGAAACTTTGTCATAGTCCCATCGGGGGTTTTGTGACAGACAGAAGAGGATTCTGATCTATATATATCAGAGCAACATTATAATGCACAGCTTTGTCTTAATATATTATGACTTTTTTCCCATGAAAATTAAAGTTATTTCAATTCAAAGATGTTACTTCCTCAAACAAAAGACAGGAGGACCATAATGTTTTATTTTTATTTTGAACTGGCACCTGCATTTTGTGTCTCCGTTTACAAAAAATAAGACCAATCATCAATTGGTGCAAAAAATGTGGACCGCAGTTTGACGCTCAAACTTTTCAAATAATTATTCCCCACACAATCCGGCTTCAATGCACCACCTCAACTTTAGTGAAGTGGTGTAATTTTGTCCACACCTTTTTAGGATCCCACTAATAAATCTAATAAATCCCACTACAGCGATAGTTGTACCACCTTTACATTTAAAGACGCGGCAGAAGATCACATGGGCCAGCTGATATGTCTCGATAGGAGTCTGGCCAATCAGAACTCCGCACGTGTGTCATATTATCTCATCCACTATGTTACGCTTCACTTATTATGTTTGTGTCTTAAGTCAAAGAGAAGAAGCAGTCGAGGACTTACCTTGGGTTTCGGCTTGGCAGGATCTGCAGTCATGTGAGAGACAGACACGGGGAGAAGAATGCAAAATGAGTTTGTGGTGGCTTCCTGGCATACAACCTCAACTGTCAACCTCTGCTGGCCCCCCGTCACGCCCCAGAATGCGTAAAGACCCACAGTGCGTCTGCTCAGGAGGCTTGTCCAGGGCCTCTAGCCGTCTGTGTATTCACGGGACGGGTAACGTACCTGGACGAATACGCTGCAAAGCTTAACTTCTAAATATAATTATGGCATAGCTTCAGCTTCAACCCCTAAACATCAAGTGTAATTTGCAGTTTTTATAATAACAGAATTAAACGTTTCTTTGAGGGGGAAATGAAGACAATTGAAAATGTTAGCATGGCAAACTAAGGGAAGGTCAAGGATCATCCAGAGGGATGAATAAAATATATACAACAAATATTAAAAATAGATAAAGAGATCCTCCTATAGGGAGTAAAAATGCGCTTAGTGAATTTCAGAGAGTTTGATATTTTGGCATACAAGTCGAAATATAGGCCCAGATGGTGGCGCAATAGGAGAGGTCACCAAGAAGTTGACATAAGGGACATAAATATACACTATTGGTTCTCACCTGTTTTCCCACAGATTCCCAGTCGACCCAGACACTCCTTATGGGCTCCCAGCTTACATTTCACACACTGGTAACCTTGGTTAAAGATGCCCCTTCACACAATAAAACACAGGATATATGTCATGTGTAACAGCCTCCTTATGAGAAATACCATGACATTTAGAGTTTTCGGGGTTCGGTCACAGCCGAGATAAGAAAAATAAAATGGCACAGAAAATGCCCTTCAGCTTTCTAAAACTATAAAACGATACTGAAAACTGAGACAGCTAACAATGGGGAGTACTTGGTTATTTAAATTGAAACACATCGCTAACAAAATATAAGTGTATTTTCTTTAGACAACAACATGTGTTGAGTTGGAGTTGATTTTCACCCTGTCTCCGGTCGACGGGTACTACCAGCTCTAAATCATTGTCCGAAAGAGTATTTACATAATGTATGAACATTACCTGAGCAAGAGGTGGCAGAAACTACAGGAAGTGATCCTTTCAAAGGTGTGCATTTTGAACTGGTGGGTGTTGTGGTTCGCTTTATCCGGTCGAATATTGGATCTGGGGGAAAAATAACAAAGTATGGTTAAATAAATTTGAGATGAAAATAAGGGTCTCCAACCATGCTGGCAGCTCTGTGATGCTGCATGTAGGCCCGTCTGTGCTTTGAGCTAAATAAATAAATGATAACTTCAGCACCCCTAGTGTTCAGAAATAAAATACTAATGTGCTAATGCAACGTGAACAATCTTAGTCTAGTGCGTTAGCATGCTAACTTCTTTTATATATTTTAATATTACAGAGGTTAAGGGGAATACAAATTAAATATTGGAAAACATAAACGTGAGGTGATCAAAGACATAGATATCAAGCTCCCAGTGGAGCAAGAGAAGCAGTCAGGCAACCAGATTCATCCTCTGGAGACCATGAGTGTCAGTACAAAATCGTATGGTAATCCATCTATTTTTTTTAGCTATTTCCATCTAGAACAAAGTAGAGTCATGTCAGTGTCTCTCAGTGGAGTGGAGTATTTTTTTCTCAATAGTGTCTTTAAAAAACAAATAAATAAACGCATTGGTTGTGTGAAAAAAAAGCTTATTTATTTCTTCACTCTAGCCTTTTCCTTCCTACCTGTGGCTGCAATGAAACCAATTTTATCCCCAGTGTATGTTTACTTGTAAATGAAGAGGGCTTGAATCAGCTCACACGGATCCACCACGGAGCTGCATGTGTTTAAATGTGAGACGGGCAACAGAAATAAGCAACATTTCTGGAGCATGGACAAAAGCTTTTTTTGCATTGAATACACCGTTCTAGGCCATAAGCGTTGCCATGAGTGCTCCCATAAGTGAGTCCTTCATCAGGAGCCCACATCCTCTTCAGAGGAACAATTTTCCCTCTCTGAATGGACCCCTTCTGGTGTCATTACTCAATGCACAGAGGCACACAAACAGTAGACACAACCCCTGTATCTGTGCAAAAACAACTGTTTTCAGAAGACAGGGGTGGAAAATGGTGATTTCTTTTCTCATTTGAAATAACACATTAGGTTTTTGGAAATATTAAGGTCCTCGTAGTCACGTCGGTCTGTGAGCTCATGTGTGACTAGTTCAGTTCAAGTTAGAGAAGAAGAAGCACTGCAACTGCACATTGATGTACATCCCTAAAAACTGTAGTGCAGTGCATATACAGAAGAGCGAAGTGACAATGTATTCGGGAAGGCCATAGCGGATAGTCAGCGTGCATATCAGAAATACTGTTTTCATACACATCCACCAAAAACACAAAAGCCTTTGTTCAGTCAATCAGCGTGTAATATCAAAACATCTTGCACCACTAAATCAACATCACAAAGGAATGGAGACGACATGTCAGCCCAACTCCCGCTGTTGCAAAATAATAAAATAGAGATTCCTGCATGAACAGTTTTTTTCTACTGTGTGTGTTTGTGTGATATTGTACCATTGTCAGCAGTGTGTGTTTGAATATAGCTAAGACCTGATCAAACAGAGTACATGAAAAGTCCTCTCTTGGGCTCCGTATAACATGCATGCAAACAAAGACCACTAAATATCATACTCTTATGACCAGGTGCATCTATCTATTTTTTTCCTGTGTTTGCATACTTACATGGCCATTTCAAACTGTTCCAGCCACTTCTTCTTCAGTTCCCTGGTCTTAAAAAAGAGCTCAAAGCCTGCATGCCCCTGCTGGTGAGTCACGTAAAACCCGCAGCACCACTGTGGAGGACAGGAAGAAGGCATTTTGTCATGAATACATATGCAGATTCGTGCTTGTATGTAGCCACTTCCCTGGTTACACATACGTGAGTATCTGACATTGTACTCTTCAAAGATATGGGTGGCACGAGAGTTCAGTGGATTGTCTATCTTTTTTGGAGTCGTATTTATATCATATAGCACAGATACCTTCTGCAGGATGTTGAGATTGATTATAACTGTGAACAGTGCGTGATACGTAATGGTCATACTCTTTAAAATACTGGGTGATGCATAGCGAGTTAAATGCTGTTTGTGTTGCCACTGTTGGAAAAAATATAACAACTTCAAAGCTGTCATTTTGCAAGTAACGTAAAAGTGACAGGAATGTGGGCAAGATTTTTATTGTCAAATACACACCCCCTGTGTATAGAAATTCTTATGCTTGCCTTTTCTAGAAAGCCGACCAATTTAAAAATTAAAATAAAAATACAATATTTACATAAATTTACATGAAATAAAAATAAGGCAGAAATGAGGTAAGGGGAAATGCGCAAAACTGAGCAGGTTTGTGTGCAGTACAGTACACTTAGCCGGTAAGTGAATGTAAATGTAGAATCGAACATTCACAACAGTTCTGCACAAAGAAGGTTGAAGTCAATGCGGCAACATTTCTCAAACATTTCATAAATCTTCCAAAATGCTGTAAGTTGATGATAATTCCTGACAGTTTTTTCTCTTTAGCGACACATTCACAGCCTGCCACGTGCTTCGACGGTCGGCCAGAGAATACCCGCTAGTACTGCAGCACTTAACGCATTTCAATCAATTCCCAAACCCTTTCATTTTTGCCACCCTAACCTGTTCCAGCTTGTTGTGTCATTTCCAATAACAGAAAAAGTGGTAGGCTTTACCCGGCAGTGATCGGCCAGCCCTGGAAGGTCCTGAGTGTTTTGGAGCTCTGGCGAGTGTTAAATCATTGATGACTGTGTGGGAGCTCAGTGGCACCACATTCACACTCTGAAGTTTCATTTAGCAGAAAATGATATATAGCTTCGAGCAGCCTTGGAGGACTGCACACATTCATCACCTGATATTAGCATCTCTGTCCGGTGGTGTGTGTGTGTGTGTGTGTGTGTGTGTGTGTGTGTGTGTGTGTGAGTGTGTGTTGAGGTGAATGTAGCGTATGTAGCTTATGTAGCTTGAACACATAGTTTCTCTTCGTCTGTGGGTACATGTCTTTTTCTGAGTTTCTGTGTCCTGCGTACTTATGTGCAGAAAAAGACATATCCAGCAAAAGTTTGTGTCAATTCATATTTGTGTCAAAACACACTGTTTAGAGAAAGATGGTGGATTTTTTAAACCGTGAATAATGTCAACCTCACACGGAGTCACCAAAAAACACATCAAGACCATGATCAGGCTTGTTAAAGCTGGATAATCGCTGGACAGCCACATGTGCCACACAGACAGACAACACTCAAAAGACACGCACATCATGGTGTGAACAATCGAGTAAACGAGGATGATAATGGGGTCCCCTTGACACCACAGAACCATCTTATTCTAACAAACTGACTATTTCATATCTGCAGTCAGCACCAGTGGGAAGACACCATCTGTGGGCAGCCCACCCCCCACCCGCATAAAAACAGTGTACTGAATAAACCGCGTGGGGTGACTGACCCTCCAACAGGACGGGAGAAAACATCATCGTGGATCACTCTCATTAGGCATCCAACGTTGTTTTTTCTTAATCTGAAGCCAAGATTTGGAATTCCGTCATTTCTCTACATTATTTGTGCAGTTTACTGATATGAGCCGAATCACAATTTGAGGTAGATATGGACCCGATCTTCAATGCACCGTAAAGTGGACAAATACTAATATGCAAGGGCATGATCCTTGTTCGTTGAAGTATATTGTGCTTTGCAGCCAACTGACCTTTTTACCCTCCCTGTCGGTGGTGGGGTTGTTTGTGATCTTGAAGTTGTTGAGGTCAAGTATGTCCTTCATCTCATAGTTGTCTCCTCTTCTCTTGCAAACAATGACAGCCACATCAAAAAGAAATATGTGTCTGTGAAATAAGAAGACAGAATGTTACTTATTAGTAAATAATAACAATGTGCTCTTTAATTATGGTAAATGTACTCAATAGCTGAGTGACCTTCATCAGTTGTTTAGTGTGTTTTTCCTGTCTGATATCCAAATTTCTTTTTAAGTACAATGAAGTTGAAATAGAACAACCTGTCCTGTTTCCTCTTGTCAACACTGGAGACCATGCGCACCTCTCCGTCACCTTTTGGCCGACCGTAGCTGATAAGAGGCTGATTCTAAAAGTGAGATAAGAGGGTAAAAATGAATATGTTAAATTGAAAATGAATTATGCATAATATAAAGGCGTTGAAAGAAATGCATTAATAAGTCAAATGCCCATAATAAATTGGTTCAAATGTGTTTCCATGTTACATTTCCAGCTTTAATGTGTTCTGCACTGAAACCTCTCAAAGTCTCAGAGAGAAAGTGAAAAGCTGTTTAACTTTATATTTTAATGACAGTATTAATTCCTTATTGGGATGCTGCTGATACAAACACAGGTTTGGGGCTGCAACTAACAATTATTAATGAGTTTGCTGATTCCCTTCTAAATTGATTATTAGAGCATAATATCATGTAATCAAATGCTTGTTTTTGTCAAGTCAGCATCATTACTGTTAAGAAAAGGAGCAAATCAAAATTGAGGAGCGGGAACAAGGGAATGTTGAAAAAAAAGGAAGCAAGAAGACTTCAAAACTAACAGGAGCTGATAGAAAAAGATTTGAATTTACCAGGTTTTCAATGGACCTCTGGTACTGGTCGATCTCCCTCAGTGTCTCATTATCTCTCTTCACCTCGTTAACAAACTGAGCAAGGTCCTGGGCAACAAACACAAACTGTTCTGCACATTGAAAGCAATGGTTTGTTCATTTTGGCAAATACAAATACACATATCCACATAAATTACACTTTTTCGCTTTCTTGATAGATGAGAAGATCAATACCACCCTCGCATCTGACCGATCAATCAAAACGGGATTTGAGCAATAGTGGACGACATAAAACCCTATTCTTACAAACAGATGTAATGTTTATTACTTAACTTTGTAAGTTCTTTTAGGCAAACAACATTTCTGATCTCAATGCTAAGCTAAGCTCATTTAACATACAGATGCAGTATGTTACGGGCAACTTGTGTATATTCATGTGGAAGGCAGCATGTTTTCTGTGCTTCTCTGAGCTGAGCGTGCACACCATGTAAATATCTTTATTTTATAAGCATTCAACTGAGAGTGGTCCCTTTTTATTGGCCTTAAATCGGCCGTCTATCCAGCATTGGCTACCTTTAAAGACTGGAAAAGCGAAGCCCTCACCAGTGTGGTGTAAAAAAAACAATTTACACCCACTTGAAGCAGAGAACACTGAGTGATTTATGACTCCTTCTTTTGCCTTGTGATAAAAGTTGATAGTTGAATGGCAGACGTACTTTTTCCACTAAATCCTCCAGCTATTTGAAAGTATTTTCAGACCATTTACCATCAGTACTGCACTTACTTTCATGGCATCAAGAGCAATCTTCAAGTTGCTCTTGTCAGCGGCATCGTGGGTGTGTTTGACTAGTTCCTGTAAGAGGAGGACAGAAAGGAAAGTAAAGGCTGTGTTCACACACCAAAGATGCACTTGTGCAAACACGTTTAGCATAAGTAGTTAGGTTATTGGTAGAAATAGATCCCTTTTTTGTTTTGGGGGGACTTTTAGCTGATTATGAGAAAATCCTTCAAAAAGCTGTACGTCAAAAGTGAGATGCTTGAATGAAACACAGTATTTTTACTCAAGTAATGTTTTGCTTATACTTACAAGTACAAATATGAAGAACTTTTACTTCCCTAGAGTATTCCCATTGCATTCTACAACATCTTAGTGTACCTTTTGAACACTATACTTAATACTTACTTTGCAAGTAAAGATTTAACTTGCATGAAACAGGCTTTACGTTAACCAGCTGCAACATGAAAAAACTCATGAGTGGATCAGTAATAATAATCAAATCATGTGATGTATAATGAAACACTTGTGCTGTTTTGTTTGTTTTTGTAAGCTTTACATTCAAGTAAAGAATGTGAATAATTGTTTCTTAATTGACGCATTGCTGTTATTGACAGGAGAGTAACTTGCACACAGACACTGTGAAATCTCCTGTGGATGACTTTGGTCTTATTACTGTCAAAACAGCAGTTAAACTGCTGAGAAGACGATGAAAACAACTTAGAGTAGTCCAGAGTGAGGCATTTTCTCTGCAAACATAATTACATATCATAACATAATGCTGCAGCAGTTTATTTTTCCTACCTGGGGCCCCAGTTCTACCGTTTTACATTATATTATTACCAGATTTGTGCTCGATTCTACATAGCTGTTAATAAAATGCCGCCAACACTGTAGCCGATAATGATATCATCGAGGCTTAAGCAATTTACATCAATATTTATATTAAACATATGATATCTAATATTAAAGGTGGGTGCAATCCCTTTAGGCATGCTTTTCCTTTATCATCTCTCTGATTACATTACAAAGATGAGTTATTCCTCTAGAGTGCTACAGTGCTGTTTGCAGCATCCACTCTCCCTTTATTTCTCCCTTTCTTCTTCCCTTTCGAATCTTTTTACCCACTTCCCACAAGTCTCTCCTGGGGGGCCGGCTGATAACGGCAGGTTCACCGCCATTTAGCCACAGAGGCCTTAACCCCCCCCCCCCCCCCCCCGCAACAATTCAAAGTGTCTCTCTGGTCGTCGCCCTCGTCCGCCCTGCCAGCTATGGTCTGACCTCTGATTCAGACCAACCAGAGGAGACGGTGTCACACAGTCATCAGTAGCTGGTGATATTGGGGGCCTTTTTTTAATCGCTGCATGTGTGATTGCAACAGGAAGCGAAGAGCACGACAACACCGCAAGACGGAGATATAAATCATGCTTAGTCGATAAGTCATGTAATGAACGTTTCACAGGTATTTCACAATCGGTTGGCACAATCAGTCTCGGGCGTCTTCCCTTTTTAAAGGCCCCATGTCTGAAGAAAATTCTGGAAGCTCAGATGTATTGGGACGCATTGAAAGTATTTTTATTTATTTATTCACTGTGCTTTTATTAAGAGACATTACATAGAACATAAGAAAAGTTACTGCAACGGATGAAGTCGATTTGGTTTTGCATTGACAACCTGCTGAGAAGCTGGGAGGAGGGAAGTTGTGGAGAAGGCCGCCCTCAAGTGGCCTCTTCTCTACTGAACGGAAGACTTTGTTGTTTTGAATAAACGGAGATCGTTTTGAGAAAAACTCGCCGAGGTGAAGCTCTGAGAAGTAAAAATTAAGATCTTTTATTGAGAATAAAGGTTTAAAAATTGCATTATAGTTTGAATGCTTTAGATAAAAAGGTACAATTTTGGCGAGTGAAGTGCTCTCATTATTTTATCATTGTGACCATTATCCTTTTTACAATAATTCATGTCCCGGTGATTGTTACTGTTAGATATGATGACAGCTGTTCGTATTGTTGTTGTTAGAGGTTGTTGAGATGTTGATTAGAAATGGCCATTAAAGTTCGTCGGACCAATAACTTTATGATCTACTGTGCATTCCTGAAAACACATTGCAAGGACACCACAATGTTGTTTTGACCTCTTATTTGACCCCCTGTCTGCAGGGTGCATGTTATTAAGACATTATTTTACCGTCTTGCTCATAGTGTGAATTAAAATAATCACCTGCTGTGCTTGCTGCTACCTGCTTCATATTCTGTTATTTTTAACAGTCAGATGTGCTGCATTCACACAATATAATCGGAAAAGAATGAATTCATTATAAAATAACACTGTCAAATTACACTGTACACTGTAGTGTACATTCAAATCTCTGAAATAAACGTGTTTCTTTTGAACCCTGAGCAGACTCTAGAAACTCTTCCGTTGAGTTAGTGGAGTAGACCTTCCTACCTGAAGAAGCAGGTGGTACTTGAGGACTCTCTGCATGGGGACAACCAGCAGGTCCCTCAGCGTAAACTTCCCATTGTTGGCTCTCTTTGAGCACTCCTGCAAAAAACACCCATTCATAACAGCATGAGCGACGACGCATCCGTGTGTCTGGGGTGATTCGTGTGTTTTTCTGGGGCGGGTTAAACATTGTTAATAATCAATTGGACGTGTGGAATATTTTTGTATCCTGTTTGGTTTTATAAAGCACACACAAAGCTCAGCTAACCTTACATTTACTTTTATTCAAAATCTATCACATAAAATCAGCTATTTTAATTCATGATGCAATAAAACATGTAATGCGATGTATATGCAGATCACAGAACTAACACTAAGGGTGGCTTGCAACGACAGCTCTGTGTGATCACGTGCGTTATTCAGGTGTCTCACCTCAAGCTTCAGACGGACATCCTCTTTCTCTTTGGAAATGAGGTCTAGCACAGCAATGGCGATCTCCACCTGACTGCAGTAAGTCCCGTAGATGAGCAGCCTGTAATGCAGAAGAAAGACAGCGACTGTCTCTGTGAGTTAGTGATACTGTGCTTAGTCAAAATTAGAAAGTGTAACTCATAATGTGCTGCGATCGTGTTACTCGTGATGAAGATACTATCGATGGATTCCCTGATAAAGAAACAGTTTCAGACGGTCGTCTGGATTACATCCTGACACGATTGAGAAGAGAATTATCCTTCATCGAATGCGACGCATTGCATTGTGCTTTCAGTTTAACTCTGAAATTTAAAATTTAAAATAAAAAATGAAAACTGCATTAACACGCAGAGCAACATGCCCATGCTGGATGTATAAGTCAAACGTATAACTGTATTGTAGTCCTAGTTTTGTAAGACAAGACCTTCCAATGTCCATCCATCCATCCATTGTCAAACCGCTTATCCTGCACACAGGGTCGCGGGGGGGGCTGGAGTCCATCCCAGCCAACTTCGGGCGATAGACAGGGTACACCCTGGATTGGTCGCCAGCCAATCGCAGGGCCACACAGAGACACACAACCATTCACACTCACATTCACACATCTACGGGCAATTTAAAGTCCCCAATTGACCTGATCCCCAGAGCATGTCTTTGGACTGTGGGAGGAAGCCAGAGAACCCGGAGAGAACCCACGCAGACACGGGGAGAACATGCAGACTCCACACAGAAAGGCCACTGGGCGGAATCGAACCCAGGACCTTCTTGCTGTGAGGCAACAGTGCTAACCACCACGCCACCGTGCCGCCCACCTTCCAATGTATTGACAGTAAATTGTAAGGACAGTGATATAGTGAACGTTTAGGCCGATTAATGAGACCGAACTGCCGCCGCAGTTGCATCTCGCATAGTTTCCTTGCAACCACACCATAAACGTACATGGGTGTTTTCGTGGATACCTCTCTTTGTAGCTGATGAAAATCTGGTAGAGATTTAAGGCATTTTTGTATAAGATGGAGTCCTGCACGTCACCCATCAGGCTCTTGTGAACTTTAATCCAGGTCCTGCATTAGAATTAAAAAAAAAAAACATTGTTGACTGGAATTGAGTTCTTATTTCCATTTCATGTAACAAGTCGAGGAACTTGTAGGACTTACTGGAATGTTGACAAAGACTTTGTCGATTTCAGCCGCAGAGAAGAAATTCCTGAGAGGGTTCAGGAAATACTGGAAACAGAAACAATTGAACACCAGCATCAAACATCCCAGCGTCTTGGCCCAGGCGCTCACACATAGATTGTTTTACTGGTGAATCATTTGAAAATGTAGTGATACAAATAATAACAGCTGTCATGCACAGATACAGAAACAAATAGCATACATCTCTTTAGGTAGTCAGATAACATCTTCATAGCAGCGCAAGAAATAGTAACAGCGATGACATTTTAAAATGCTTTGTCTAACTTTCTGATTTATTTAGAAAAATGTGTTTTTCATGTGACAACATATAATCTCAGTGCTTTATAGAACAGTAGGATGTTAATAAACCTTCTCGATGGACTCCAGGGTCTCCGTGTATTTCTCCTCCGTCTGTTTGATCTCTGTGAGGCAGCAGCTCCGCACATCCACCTCGGTCTGCTTCTAGGAAGACGCACACCTCAGAAAATGTTTCCTAAACACTCGCCATCTTTCCTTTTGCTCATCCACTGACACTGGAGAGTATTTAGAATATTCACTCAGAACGCTGAAATGAAACATCTGAAAAAAACGTTTTTATTCATAGAGGAACGTATTTTTAAAGAAGCCTGCGCAGACTTCCTCCTGCGTGCATGAAGCACAGTCATAAGGTGCAGAAACGAAGCGGATGAATAGATGACGGCTAACATCACTCTGAGATCACAGCTTCTGCAGGATCAGTGATCGATACACACGTTCGGTGACTTGGTTTGTCACACACGTTAAATCCATAACTCTGATTGTCGCCCATGAAAATTAACAGGGACATTACGCTGATATGTGACGATTAAAAGTAAACATGTAGCGTTGTCTTTAAAAGATGATGTAATCCCCTTTTAATTTGTCTCTAATGACTTACTACGAGTGAGTGGAGTTGTCTGTATCTACTGTATCTAATCCCATTTTGCCGATTATAGTTTTGAACTTTTTTTGTGATACTTCTGAAGTTAAGGCGCAACATTTGAGCAATTAGGATAGTAGGTGTGTGTGTGTGTGTGTATGTGTGTGTGTGTGTATGTGTGTGTCTGTGTGTGTGTGTGTGTGTGTGTGTGTGTGTGTGTGTGTGTGTGAGAGTCATTGCTGTACCAAGAGGGGATGCTGCTCATTCCTCATGAGGTCTTCATAGATCTCTCCGCCTGCATAGTCTTCTTCCACCCCGTAGACCTCTGCATACAGGCCGTCCTCATCATCGGGGGCATTCTCGCTATCACACACGCAGGCACATTAACAAATGACTTATTGCATTGTGTGGATAATGTAATGTTAAATCAAAGTAAAAACTACACATAGACAAAAGGCAGCACCCTTTCTGTGGAGTGTATATGTGATTACAAAGCAGTGTTCTATCATGGGCTATTTTTTTTTAACATATCCATTAACTCATCATAATCACTGGATGCATTTGATACAAAGAGGCAATGTGACATGAAAATAATGCAAGTATTGTACCTGTTTGACTCATTTGAGTCAATCAAATGTTATTGATGAGGGTGGTATGCAAGAAGTCCTCTGAATCATGCAGTGTTACTCATTCGTTCCCTCCGACAGTAAAAGAGAGACGGAGCAAAGCCTTTTACCAAAATGTGTGGGTGTCCAGACCCCCGGAGAGCACGGATAATGAGCAGAGCTGGTTCCCTACTGGGCTAAATAGTCACGTACTATCAACACCAGTAATGATCCTGCAGAGAGGAGCCTCATACATACTCAATCAAGTCTTCCAGATTATTGTAAATGTCCTCGTCTTTGAGGCTTTCCTCCGTTGGAAATGGCCTGGAAATGACAGCAAAGTGTGAGGCTCAGTGTTCAACAGATATGAATGAACACAATGAAGAAAACCAATGAGTTGCTTTGGGCAAAAAAACTAACGTTTGATGTATTAGAGACATTTTAAAATATCCAGGAGAGTTGAATTGCTTTCGTTCAGCAAAAACAGGCACAAATTGGTAATAACTAGGTTGGACAAGTCCACAAAATCCAACTTTTATTGGGACGGAGATCTGCAACTTGCTCATTCTCACATTCAAGGGAATGAAAGATGCCATTTTTTTAAATACTTAGAATGTTAAACTGTTCAACAAAATGCAGAATATAAAGTCACGCGCGGATAAATAACACAAGTGACAAGTGACTAGATTTTTAGTATTGAGTAACTTACTTGATTACACCTTGCTGTGCAATTGCCGTGTAGGACAGCTTGGATAGTGTGTCCACAACCTGGTAAGGAAAAAAAGAATAATACATTTAAAAATAGCGGCAATACATGAGACTTCACCGAGCTCCTTCAAAATGTTGTTGTTATGTAAAAGCATTTGTAATGCATATACGTAATAGAATAAAATATTTTCAACCACATGTTTCTAAAGCGCCGTTGTCTTTTGCGCCTGGATCCTTGGAGCAAAATGATACATTACTATTTTTATTATTCCTATTAGTTATATTATGCGAATTATTTTCATTTGTATCATTATTATTATGATTATATCATTATTATGCCAATAATTATGATTGAAATGAGATGGAGAGCAGATGGAGGGGGAAATTTAAATAAATAAATAATTTAAAATTGTGGCCCGAATAAGCTTAATAATTTCTTTATGCGGCACAGAGAAGTTTGGAATGACCAAATGACTATTTGAATGAAAGTGGTTAGCTATAACATCCTGTCTATCAGCAGTTTATCTCCTCTTCGTTTGAATGAGTAATGTGGCTTTGGTTAAAGTCAGGTGTCATTGTGACGTTGTGTCTTGAAGACTCAAGTTCGTAGTTTGAGACCAGTTTTAAACTCAATAATAAAAATCTCTCTGCCATCTGCAATAGTTTTTAATGATGGTAACGAAACCAAACATTTGATTTTAACTGCTGTGTTAAGTGTTTGCAGCCAAAGGGTCTCCTTCATTCAGTCGAGTGAAGAAAAGGATAAGTGTTGGAATTTCCATTGGCTTTGGCTTGGACACCTTCTTTTATTAAGAGACCAAATGCCATGTTCGTTCTGATATCCCGGGGGGGGGGGGGGTGGGGGGGGGTGTAGTAGTAGTAACTCAGCAGAGGAATGAATGTAGGTTAAAGAGCTCTCAAGCTCTATTCAGTGGACTAATGCTCAGTCTACGGGCAGAGTTGGCACACTTCAACCCGGGTGGATTAGACTGGCTGAGATCTGAGATGTTCTCTTTTGGATGTTTTTCTGGAAAATAGGGAAGAGATTGAGGATTTCTTGTTCGCATGTACAACCCTTCCTGGAGCCGATCCATCCCGACCCAATCGGCGAACCTACAGACGCCCCTTTTCTTCTTTTTTTTTAGTAAAAACAAGTTATGCTGCAAAACAATCATCCCCCTCCGGAAGCTTGTTTGCTAGATGGAAAACTCTTGAACATGACTGAGATTATGCAGCCCAGCTTGTATGTACTGTACATGTTTGCAGGCAGCGCCTCCCATACAGGATTATCAGAAGACAGATTAACTGGAAGCTTCTGTACAGCACAACACAATGTTCTAACATTCTTTACACATGGAGTTCTCAATAGCAATAATGTGTAAATGATTGAAAATGGACAAAACTGTCAAAATAATTACATCCATAAGAAGAAAATATTGTTGAGGTTGTACTTGTGAACCGAGGAAATGGAAGAATAAGGCTGGTTCAGAGTGAGGCTGCTTTCTTCGGTCAAATCAGGCTTTGCTTTGCTGCCAGCTCACACAATAACGTGACAATAAATCAATAAATGCATACGTGGACGTCAAAACATGTTGAAACCTGTTTTAGTAAAGTATTAAAAATGTAAAATATAGAAAAACTGTAAAATGATCTCCTGAAAGACACCTAATGTGCTCACTTCTCTGTCGAAATGCTGGTTTAAATCAAGTGTTATACCCAAAAGAATCGAATACTTTCATAAATCATGAAAAATGTGCATTGTTGGAGAAAATGGAACATGGAAGAGGATGCTACCTTCACAAAGTCTCGAACATCAAAGAGGTCGAAGGCTTCAAATAAGTCATTTCTCTTCATCCCAAATACATTGCAGCAACAAGTCAGGAATGTACGGATGTTCTTCAAGCACAGGAACTGCAAAGGGAAAACATTGACACATCGTTAAGCATAATGTGTATCTATATTGCATTTACACAAATATGTGCTTCTTTTTTGCTGGAATAATGTTACTGAGACTAATTGTTCATGAGCTGTTTCATAGAATAACTTATGGGTGAGCCCCTCCAAACCATTAAAAATATTCTAGTTATTTCGTTCAGGAATTTCTTTTACCAGATCAGTTTTCATTAAAAGTATTCATTCCAAAGAACGAATTGATATTCCGGAAACAATGATATTGCTGTATGATATTGCTGTCTTAACTGAGACGGACAGCTCCGCGGCTCCGAATCCAACCACAAAGCTCTTAGTCTGATTACTAACTTCAGTTGAGTTTTTTCTTTTTGTAATTTAAAAGAAGTCTTTCTAACTTTTCTTAACTGACATTTGCTATACAACGCAGAGAAATTGAAGTTGCCTGTATAAAAGTGAAGGTGAGCAGCACACAGCAAACTGAAAGTGAAAGCATAACGTTTCACATTGACAAAACCGCACAACAAGCTTCTACGGTGTCACTTCCTGTTATGATGTGTGTCTGGAACTAGTGAAGTAAAAGAAAAAACATCCTAACGGTAATTTTTGGGTCTTAGGAAGACGCTGAAAGTCGATGTACTCAAATAGTGGTGAAAAAAAGCAAAGCATTCAAACAGTTAACGTCGATCTCCCACATTGCTGTGAGATGACTAAACGAGGGCCGCAGTGGATTCTTGAGACTAGATAGGCTCCTGCTTATCACAGCAGCTCATCGTGGTGACGCCTGTAATCACCACAGCGGGCCCCCTGGGGCCATGTTGGTCTGCAGAGGAAGTGCATGAACACGATTGCTTTGCACAACTCCTGAATGATTACAGTCACAGACCTGGTGCATAGTCGCTTTCTACTTTGAGAATAATCCCTGCACCAAAATCACACACATACACACAATAAAAGTGTAGTTGTTCCTCGGCAGGGTGTGTTTATATAGGTTGAGAATTTTTCACTACCAAAGAATGAAAGACAAAAATAGAAATGACCTTGAGATACAAATTACAATTTATATATAAGAATTATACCGTCACATGCCATGTTTCCCATTTGCACCAAACATACACATATAAATAGCACTTCCGGGCACAATTTCACTACAGCACACTGCACCCTCAAGTCCATTACCTTCACAGCCTTGTTTTCATCTGCAAGATCGTGGGTCAGCAGAGCCCAATGAAAGGGGCATTTAAAATGTGGAGCCCAGTGACACACTTGCCTTTCTTAGACATATTCAGACGGCCTACAGCTGCAGGCTTTGGCTATTCACTCTATTATGCCCTGGTTTTGCTATTAGAAAAGAATGAGACGAACATACACAGCAATGCAGTTTATAAGCACGATCAGCACCTGGCTCGGGAACTGGCTTTTTTCATTACAGAAGCAACGGTTTTCAAAGGGAAATCTGAATATCCCTTTAATCGGATGTCTCCATTTATTGATGGCAGTTTGTGAGTGGTAAAATCCAAAAAAAGGTTTCATGAAAACTGTGTTGGTGCATCATTGCAATGTTTACGACAACTACTTTAATTCTGAAACGTTTGTGTTTGTGTGCTTCACACGATGCGCTTTTTAAGTAATGGGCCTTCGGACCTCACTTATAGGTGTCATCATTGTTTATGTGTCTCATGCATCATTTTAATCATCACCCTCAATGCCGTCTGAAAGTCGTTTAAAGTTTGTGGTAAGTCGAGGTTAAGTGAAACATTCCTACAAACATTTATATCCAACTGTGAGGAGTTGCACACATTGTAAAAGTAAAACACCAAACAGTAAACGTTTCCTCACAAATGGGTGGATCAAAGCCAGGATTGTATCAGGCCTCTCCAGTGACAGAAGAAGGAATTATGATCATCCCAAGCACAACCATCTAAAGGGGTAAGTTGAGTCACTTTGGACTGACTGCCACATTCTATACGAAAAGTAGACAGATGAAGACTTCGCTTTACACTGAACATCCTCACTATTTGGATGGAGTAACCCAGAGGCAACACTCACCTCACATACCACATCGAACTTGAATAAGTCCCCTTTGCGCAAAACCTATGTTGCCATTGAGCGGGCTAAAATGTTGTTGTTTTTTTTAAATGAACTTAAATTAACATCTAACCATCACTCTGACACATTCAATTGGATTGCACGGCAGTTTTGCGGCTGCTCTGTCTGCGCACGTTACGACAAAGGAGCGGGGTTTGAGAGCTGCGCAGAAATGAATAGTCTACCTGTGACATCTGCGGCCTCAGATTGATCTCCTTCAGGTTGATGGTGTGAGGTCTCAGGTTGTTGAGCAGTTGGCAGAGCAGCACCCCGTCCCGCAGGGTTTGCGCCAGATCGAACACCTGCGCCGTGTCGGCCGTCACCCGGTGGTTGGCGGGCAGCACTTTGCAGCTGATCAGCCACATTGCACATTGCCTCCAGTACTCCATGTTCTCGGCGAGAAGCGTCGAAGAACGGCGAGTTTTGTTTTTTTAGCACCAAATGGAACGACCTGGTCGCTGTTTAGAGGCTGCGCGCGGCATGGTGGCTGCGCTCAGCGCCGTCGGGGCGTCTCTCCAAACTCCAGCATCGCCTCCGGGGGACGCGCGGGGCTGCGGCGATTTAGGCAGTGCTTCATGCGGTGGGCTGCTGTGAAGAAGACGTTCTGTGAACTTTCCGCTTCCTTTACATGTGCTGTGTCGTGGAGGTGGTCGTAAAAAAAAAAAAGTATTTCCCGTACTTCTGAAATGAGGCGTCATTGTAACGAGCCAGCGTTCTCTCTTTTTTTTTAACTTTGGCTTTCACCTTTGATTCATATGGAAATCTCTGAAATGAAGATCAGCGGTTGTTGTATCATTCCAAAAGACACTGAAATAGTATATCTATAGAAATAATACAAGCTCACAAAATCAAATCCAGGCCATTTGCTTGATAAATGGCTTGATCAAGCAGTTAAGCCTTTTATTTGTCAATTAACTGGTTAAAAGACTTCAGATATATGCAGTTGTTGTGGTGCACACACATTATATCTCATTTTATTCTAACAGTATTTCGCCCACAGTCTTCCACTCCCAGCTGACATGTGTATTATGAACAGCTTTGACAATAGGTTTTTGTGATGTGTTTAGCGTTTCCATAAATTCGATAGGAAGAATCAAGGGATCTAACAGTGCAGGGGGGGGAGGACATCCTTTTGCATAATGTCATTGAGCCCATGACATAAACACAGGAAGGAAGCTGGAAGATCCCATTTTGTTTTAAACTGAGTGACGGAGCCAGATGTTTCCTCAGACAATGAGCTGACCCAAAAACTTAAACTTAAACTGTCAAATTAAGCTGCTCTTTTTGTTACTTAAGTCCAATTTCACAATTGAAATACCAATGACATTTTTTGAGCTAACAGATTTTTACTTTTTTTTAAACCTTTGTGACCTTTTTTTAATGTTATTTTTCAATGACATTTTACACCTAACATTATTTTACTTTTTTTCAAAACCTTTTTCGATATAATATTATAGAATTATATTAAATTAAATATTATACTATTGACTAAATTATTACTTTCTTTTGCAGGACATATTTCGACCAAATCTTCTTTGAACATTTTTTTGACCACATATGTTTTTACTTTTTTTTTCAAAACATTTATTGCTCGTATATTTTTTAAAACATTTTCCAACCATATATTTTTTTGACATTTTTTTCACAATATTTTTGACCTAATATAATTTGATTTCTTAAAAACTTTTAAATATATATAAATGAATGTGGAATCTGTTCAGTTTAATTACATTAGTCACGATTTAAACTGCACAGGTGACACATATTGGGTTAAACAATTGTTTTATAGTGTTCTATAGTATTTACTGTCGTTAATTATGAATCTTTTTTTAATTATTACTACCATTGGTAGCAGTAGAATTAATCAAATTCAGATTATTATTTTGCTTATTGCGTCTCCTTTGTAAACTTCCGGAATAAAAAAACTCGAACGGCGCACGACACCGGAAATGGAGCCCCCAAAAAGAAACTGAACCGTCAAAACATAAACAGAGCAGTAAACCTTGTGTGAACGCAGTTAGCTCTCTTTCTAGTTTGTCTTCTGCTAAAAGCTGTATGCACGCATTCCTAATGTCGTGTATTTACGGTCAAATAATTCCTAGCCGAGGCACCCAAGTTAGCCCAATTGCTAAGTAGTCAGGTGGAGAAAATAAATCTGCAATAAAGATCAGGACTAAACTAAGAAGTACGCCTCGTCGGGCCTTCGGATCGAGGTAACGCAAGCTACGCTAGTTAGCCACCACACGCAACGTTAGCCACTCGTACGCTATTAAAGCCCACCGGTTTGTTACTAAGCACGACTGACAGTAATATACTGTCCAACTCGGTTAGCCTTAAGCGGGCTAGTTAGCGTTAGCTCACGCCGAGCGCACCGCGCAGCACAATGCACCGCTAAGCACCACACAGCAAAACACGGCGTGGGTCGGGCCTGTGAGCTCGCTGCCAGGCGAGTAATTTAAGTTTTATTAATGTCGCAACAGGCAGCGGTAGTCGGGGGATTAAAATGAGCCCGGTACTTTAGTTTAGACGGGCACCCCGCGGCGCACACTGCGGCGTCCCTAGCTGACAACCGTTGAGGGTGTATTGAGAACCGATGCACACGCGCCTCCCGTTGTCTTAATGTGAGCCCGGGTTCTTTTTTGCCCAATAAACGTCCCAACTGTGTCTGTCGCAGGTCGACGCAGACAAAGGGGACAGGATGTCTGAGGCTGAAGGCAAATCCACAGCGCTTAACGGTAAGGGGTCAGTGCAGGAACACAAGCGGCTCTTTGCACCGACTGCAACTGTGCGAGCTGCAACCCTCAACATGCAGTCAGCCACAAGCAATGTTGTTGTTCTTGTCTTTTCTCTTTTTTTACCAGGTGGCGAAAAAGAAGATCAACATAAGGAGACTGATGCATCCGGAAGCAAAGATGGGGAAACGCAGTCTTCCTCTCAAGACGGTAAACACACACACACACACACACACACACACACTATTCCAAGTTGTAGACTGCTAACTAAGCTATAAGGCTGTAATACTTATTGTAATCAATGTCAAAATGTCATCTCTTTACTAATACAAATACCCCCAAAGGCACAGGAGAGGCATCTGGAGACAAGCCAATGTCAGAGGTGGGGGAAAACAGGGAGGAGGAGGAAGAAGACACAGACAGCATGGACGGCCGTGGCCATTACTCCCTGACTGAAGACGGTGAAAGAGAGAGTGACGGAGGCAGACGGAGGAGAGCAAAGGATAAAGACGGCGGGAAAAGAGCCGCCAGGAAGCGGAACAGACCTGGTGGTGGCCCGAATCGCCCCACCACTTCAGATGAGGATGAGGACGACGAGGATGAGGACGAGGACGACGACGAAGAAGAACACAAAGACGACGACGATGAAGACGATGATGAGGCCATGGAGGCCTGGCTGGGAGCGGAGCTCAGTGACCTGCGAGGCCCTGTGTGGCAGGCGATACCCTCGCTCCGCTCGCGGGAGATCGGCAGGGACTCCCACCAGTTTGTGAGGCGCGTGTGCGGGGCCCGCGGCCTCGTGCAGAGGCTGGAGCTCCAGGGCCGACTGGAGAGGCACACGGGCTGCGTCAACACGCTGCACTTCAACCCCTCGGGCACACGCCTGGCCTCTGGCAGCGATGACCTGCGGGTGGTGATCTGGGACTGGGCTGTCCGCCGCGCCGAGCTGGAGTTCGACAGCGGCCACAAGAGCAACGTCTTTCAGGTAAGGGGCGAAGAGATCTTCGGTTTTAACAATGAGGGTTGGTCATATTTATCTGCGGTCAATGATAAACCTGCAGGGGAGTGAGCCAAAGAGACTGCCGCGGTAAGGGACCTCTTCTCTTCTCCCCTCCCCTCCCCTAACGTACACACAGGCAAAGTTCCTGCCCCACAGTGGAGACTCCACCTTGGCCATGTGTGCCCGAGACGGTCAGATCCGAGTGGCTGAGCTCTCTGCCACACAGCGCTGCAAGAACACCAAGCGGGTGGCACAGCACAAAGGGGCGGCACACAAGGTGAGCGTCTAATGCCTCCCGAGCGCTCCTGTTCCCTTTGGTCAGAACCGGAAGCCAACTGTAACTTGACCGGCTGGCGTGCAGTGGCCAGGTGGTAGTTTATCGTTTCTGCTTATTTTTCATGCAGCTGGCCCTTGAGCCAGATTCCCCTTGCTCCTTTTTGTCCGCTGGAGAGGATGCTGTGGTGTTTGGTATTGACCTGCGTCTGGACCGGCCTGCTAAGTGAGTGATGCTGTTCTTGCCGTTTACCAAGTTCAAATTCTGTCACCTCTGCAAATGGATTTTAACTCTATTGACTGGCTTTTGCAATAAGTGGGAGAAATATCATAAACTATACACACGTTTGGATGCAACGTTGTTCTTTTAAAGGCAGTAGTTTGTAGTGTCCCGCAAATATCCTTTACACCGTTTAACACTTTCCTCTTTGCCAGTTTATATGTGTTGATGTCCAGAGATAATATTCTTGTTTTTCTGTTTTCTTTTTTTTAAACTTATATGGCAGTAAACTGGTGGTTGTGAAGGAAAGTGATAAAAAAGTGGGTCTGTACACCATCTTTGTCAACCCAGCAAAGACGCAGCAATTTGCTGTGGGCGGAAAAGACCAGTATGTGAGGTATGAGCTATAAGTTATTCTTATGTCTTAATGCAAAATGGCATTGAATAGAATTGGTATAATCATTCTTAAAATGGTTGCTTTCTGTCTCTTAAATGATATTCTGAATTCCTTTTTCGTTTTCTCACCCTCTCTAGGATCTATGACCAGAGGAAGATCAACGAGAGCGATAATAATGGAGTGCTGAAGAAGTTTTGTCCTTCACATCTGGTATCCAGCGAGTCCAAAACCAACATCACCTGCCTTGTGTACAGTCACGATGGCACAGGTAACAAGTACTGTCGCATTGAAATCATTTAAAGAAGTTTAAAGTACTAAAAACAACATATCAGGAATGAAGACATGTAACTGTTGGCATGCCGTGTGTATGGTAATAACTGAATACCCCATAGCAAGATTTATTATCTCCCTAATGTTGTTTCACATTTATCTTTATCTTCTTTGTATGACAATCCATCCTCAACTTTTTTAATTTTGCAATAAATTTATTTAAGAAATATTGAATATTCAGAATCCTACATGCCTGTGTCAATGTCTTAAAACAATACAACTTTTGCCCTTGTAAACCTTTCCGATGCAATCATGATGAAATATACTCAAACGAATGCGCCGTACTTTAAAAAGCTTCCATGTGCGCTCATCCAGTCAGGTCGGATTAGGAGCCAATTACAGGAATACACTTTGGTTCAATAAAATCAGTTTTTCCGAGTGCAATAACTTAGCTGAACTTGTCTGAATATTTCCCCATGATAATAAAAGGACCGGAATCTGCCTTTATGGCATTAAAGGAAATTAACAAGACCTTTGACTCCTTTTGCCTGCAGAGCTCCTGGCCAGTTACAATGACGAGGACATCTACCTGTTTGACTCCAACCACAGCGATGGGGCGGACTATCGAAGGAGATACAAGGGACACCGCAATAATGCAACAGGTGTTCTATTTGGGTACCGTAACAAAACGATGTGTTGCAGTAATGAAGTGGTGCCCTTTGCTTTTACTCCCAGTTTTAGAAATGGAAAGCATTTGCCGGCTGACTAATCATTCTTATACTGCAGAGAGATTTGGATAATCATGCAGAATGAATCCCACATTTTTAATCCTCCCTCCTCTTCGCCCCTTGTCTCACAGTGAAGGGGGTGAACTTCTATGGGCCACGCAGTGAGTTTGTGGTCAGTGGCAGTGACTGCGGACACATCTACCTGTGGGACAAGTACTCTGCTCGCATCGTCCAGTTTATGGAGGGAGACCGGGGGGGAGTGGTGAGTCCAACAGAAGGGAAATGATACCTACTTTTATTGGACTAGGCTGTAAAAATTCACTACGTTTTGTGTAACGTTTGTATTTCCTTTTACGACTCTTTTGCTCTCCAGACGTCTGTCTTAACATTATTTCTCGTATAACTTTATCAAGTCGTCTCGGCCATTTTCTCTACACTCGACAACCACAGGTGAATTGTTTGGAGCCTCATCCCAATCTTCCCGGCATGGCCACCAGTGGGCTGGACCACGACATCAAACTGTGGGCCCCCACGGCTGAGAGCCCCACGGGACTGAAGGGTCTGAAAGAGGTGATCCATTCGGCTCTTGTTTCACACAATCCGCTCTCTTTTTACACGGTGAACGCCGCCACTTTTACTGCGGGCTGCATTCAGTTCGTCACACGCCACAGCAGAGCTCGAAGCAGACACAGCTTTCAAAGATGTGCAGTCAACCGGGTAGACCTTTCTGCTTCTGTTAGTTTTGGCAATCGATTTATTGGTTCCGGTGACCTTTTTACCTCCTGCTCCTCGGGTGGGACGAGGGACGCGGTGACTCCGCTGAGAAAACCGCTTGTCAACACGGTCTGTGCGATAACAGGTTGCCCCGAGCCGCGCAGAAACAAATCCAGTTTGATATGAAGTCTTAAAAAGTAAGCAAAGGATTAACAGCGACGTTTGTGCTCCTCATGCATTGCCCCCTGTTTGCCGAACTTGCGCCCGTTCGCTGTGGTCGTCAAGGTGATGAAGAAAAACAAGCGGGAGCACGACGAAGACAGCGTGCGCCACGGTGACCAGTACGACACCCAGCTGCTGTGGTTCCTGATGAGACACATGAGGAACAGACGGCCTCAGAGGGTGAGCACATCTCTTCATTATTATTTTCGGGTGTGGAGTTAAAGAGAAGTGAGATATTCCTTTCGTATTGGTTTCATACAGGAAATGAAAGGATACAGAGTTTGTCTGAAGGTTGTTGGTACTACTCTTTGATTACACATCATTTGGTATTTGGGTAGGAAATGTAGGACAATTAGTTTTCCAATGTGTACACTGGTAATTTAGCACCAACAAAAGGACAGTACTAATATTCTAACATGAAGGGTGGCGAGATGTTTCCACACTATTTCAGCCCCAGAAGAGTCTCATTGAAATGTTTCTCCGTTCTCTTGTGTGTGTGTGTGTGTGTGTGTGTGTGTGTGTGTGTGTGTGTGTGTGTGTGTGTGTGTGTGTGTGTGTGTGTGTGTGTGTGTGTGTGTGTGTGTGTGTGTGTGTGTGTGTGTTTGTTTGTCGATGCACGCCCGCCGCGAGGGGGCAGACACAGACACGGGACGAGTCCTGGAGCTCTCCAGATTCCTCTGACGAAGAGGAAGGAGGTCCAGACCACGTCCAGTGCATGTCCTCCTGAGCACCACACACACACACACACACACTTAGACACGCAAACATACACTCGCACACACTTCGTGGCCCTTTAATTGTTGCACATAGACGAGCACCCTTGACACCGTGGCAACTCAAACACGGACGAGCCACAGGCGTCTTTTTGTTTGTTTCCTTTGTACACACGTACAAACTCACACTAAATGAACTTACTTACTTTTTGAATTCATAGTGACCGAGCTTCACGGTTGGCTTGTGAGTGCAAGCGACGACTACACACTGCATACGCACTTCCAGAATCCTGATTTTTGACTATTGTACAAAGAGATTTAGTGAATGCTTGCATCCCTATAAACCACTCTGGGGGGGGGGCTGCTCGTGCATACATTGTCTATGTGCCCTGTCTAGCCCCGGAACAATGTACTGTGTACGTATGGCAACAAGCACCTCCTCTTTAGGGACCCTGTAGGAAGCTATACATCACCAGCACACAATTCCTCCTCTTTTAGGGATAAACACATCTCACTCTTCAGCTCTTTGGCTTTGAATCGTACCATCAAACCATCCCCTAAATGTGACTTCCTTTTATCATTTGAAGGGTCCCCTTCACTGCATTGCCCCAGTCTCTTGCTTATTTGTGGCCCTTAGCTTGTGCAACTAGTTGCGTTTTTGTCTGGAAGGACTGCTGAATCCCTACATGCTGCATCACCCGACGTGCTCCCCTCCCCTTTCCCCCTTCCCCCTCACCAGTGAGTGCACTTTGAATCAGGGACGCTTTAGTTTTGAGACACAGACAAAATGTGCACTGAGTGTGTCATTCTTGGGGGAAGAGCTGTTTTATCCCATCGGAGCCCCCACGGTTTAGTTTGATGTTATTGATTTTTTTTCTTTTTTTGGGGTGGGGGTATTTTGCACTTAAGCATATGTTTGACTGAGGAAAAGGAGGTTTGTTTGTATTCCATCAGCCTTTCTTCCTCCCTGACTCTCCATCTTTGACAGGAAACCTTGGATGGTGTTCGGCACACGGATAGTGACTGATGTCGGGTTCTATTGGGGCAATTGGTCATTTAGAGTCAGACCCTGACTTAGGCAGTGTTTCCGTTGGAATTTGATCTATGTGCTAGTTGAGATTGGAGTGTAGTAACCATGTGTTTCATGAAAATGCCTCTGATGCTAATCTCAAATTGATTGCGGAATGTCTGTCTTTCAAACAAGCATTGGAGCACCACAATAACTAAGAGGAGGGAGGTCATAATGCTTGGCAGTCATTTGCTGTACGAGAGCGATAAAGTCCAGCGTTTCTCATTTTCTATGAGAACTGTAGTTGAATTCATATGTACATATATAAATATATATTAAAACTGTAAAAAGAAAATCAACCTTAGCAAATGCAGTTTGACTTAAAGGACAAAAGATGTCAGAACATTTGATTGGTATCGATGCAGAGGTTTATATTCTATATGAGGACAAAGTACTTTTAAAATCCAGGGGGGAAAAAATTGACTTGAGACACCATTTTTCTTCTGCTTTTCCTTTTATGAATGGCATCCTTCTGTTATGAGCAGAACAGCTGTCGAGTATTAAAGTTATGATTCTGTTGTTCAAGAAAATAGGTTTCCGTTCTCGATCATCACCCATCATTAGAGACAGTTCTATCCAGATTTTCCCACTGGCTATTTTTGGCATCTTGTATACATGAGGCGTTTTGATGAACAATTTTCTTTTGTCCACAACTGCCTAATATTGTATTCTACCAGTTGTTTGAAATATGTACGATTCGTGCAATAAACAAAGACAGTGCTCTTGATGTTGTAAATTCATGGTCTCATTCTGTTGCATTGTCACTCTGAAAAACACTGAAACCTACATTTTCCACAATGCAACTTCACCTCATCCGCAGGACCATCCCTGAGTAGTTACGATCTACAATTCACTTTTCTGTAAAATGGATTGTTGCGATGTCTCATGTAACTCGACACATTTTTGCTTTAAAAATAAATTTTGCGTGAGACATTTTGTGTAAACTAAATTCAACAGTTAAAAGAAATGGCAGGAATGTTTCAGGGGAGGAAAAGACAGCTACATTTTATTTAACTACTTGTACTCCTCACACTGACTTAGCGGGACAACAGGAAATTGGGCCTTAAAGCCAAGACAATAATTCAGGTCTTTTGTATCAATGGGTCTTTAAAGATGGTTGTTTCCAGTGAACTCCTTTGGACAAGCGCTGCCTTGAGTTCATTCAATCCCGGCTTATTTTAGGGGAAGAAACTGCAAAATGATCTTAACATTTTTTTATTCAACAGGTGTCTGAGGGGCATTTTAAAACTCAATACTTGTTGGTAATGACGCATACTCCCAAAACTTGATACCAGTCACACCAAAATCTCCTTTGTTGACATGAAAGCCTTATTTCACAGGAACAACATGGATGCCAGTTCTCCAGGCTGGTGTTTAGGACAAAACCAGTTGTAAAAAATGATTCTGCAGGACCCATATCAGACACCTGCAAAACTCAAAGAACACAGCATCTTTCTAATCACGTTGATATCATCCACCCCACTTTCAAAATGTTTTGAATTCCCACAGGCAGTAATTCCTTAAGACGGACCGGGTTTAATACCAAAACACATGTACATAATTTACAACCAATGCAGCGCAAATAGCCCTTTACAACTCATCCCACTAAATGAAGACCAGGTGTGACTTCTTTGTAATACAAATAAAGCAAATGTCTTTCGGAGTTGCTCATCTTTACAGTGAGCTAGTTTCACTCTCCCAAACACCGGAGGAAACCGTTGCGCTTCCAACCGGTCTGTCCGCCAGTTGCCTCCTGTGTGTTGGAGATGATATCTAGCCAATTGGATACAATCCGCACTGACATAGTATAGACATAAATATTAAAAGAGGCACTATCATGGGCTCTCACTTGTTGCCTCAGTTTTGCTAACGTGTGTCACCGCAATAAGAATCTGACAGCAGAAGAGCGTCACTCGTGTTACTCCTTGTACTCCAGAAACAGCTGCAATCTCTTCCGGTGCTCTGCAGACATCTTGACAGCACTGCGGATAAAAAAAAGAAAAGAAAATACATTAAGGAAATTACACACATGGTAATATTTTTGGGAAGTCCTTTTTAATGCGAGGCCTTACTTTAAGTGATTCCCAAATGTAGTTGTTATCCTGTAGATGGAGGTCTTGAGAGTGGCCCTCAGAGCAAAGCGCAGTGTTTTGTGGGTCGATTCCCCCAGGCTGCCGGCCGACCTGACGGGCTTACTGGAGGCGTGAGGCAACTTGAAGTGTCGATCGACCGCCTGAAAGCAAGTCAGACCGGAAGCAGCTGTGGTCAGTGGGTGCACGGTGATCTTGTGTCTGTGTCACTATGGACGGTCTCGGAGGAAAAAAAACCCTCAGAGCACCACTTGAATCAACAAAGTGAATGTCAAAAGATAAAAATCTGTTGCTTTTCTGACTGACCCACCCAAATTCATATCATGCAGATATTTCTGATGTTTCATCAGGAGTTAGATGAACTCGCCCCTTTAACTTAAGCACTGCTTCTGTTGGTCTTCATGCCAAAGTTTCAAACAATGTTTGAACTTAGGAGAACAAAAGGCAACATTGCTGTGCCAGGAAATGCAACAGCGGTTGCAGAAAAAAACAACTCACCTCTTGCAAGACCAGCATGCTACCGAGAATGCTGGGTAATGTAGTCTGTACAACACCAAACTGGTCTTCTGAGAAGGAGGCTTGAACGAGGTAAGACAGCCCTGGAGGACGACATAATAATGTACATGTTGTATCAGCAAAGACAGCTGGTATCCACATGGAGATTAAACTCAGTGTGCAACATCTGTTCCCACCTTCTAAAGCCCAGATGTGAGCCTGACTGTCTGCAAACAGAGCTTGACTGGAAGCTTCTGGAAGCTGCAGGAGACAAAGTTTACTTGTACGAGCTTCCTACTGTACAGACAAACACCTATTTACATATAGCTTATGAGGAAGTTGTTCGATCGGACAGGTTTTAATGAGCATGCATGTTCGAAATACGAAAGATACGTGAAGCTCGGAGTCAAGCAACCAAACTAGTTTCTACAAATAGGAAATTCAAATGCAACACAAGCACAATCCACGGCGGTGGTAAACTCATCACTACCTCAAACTCCTGATATAACAAGATAATCTCCCAAAATTTGAAATACAAATAACACTTTGAGTTCTCATGTTACTTGCAAAACAAGTGGTTTACGCAACTTGTAAAATAATCCTTTTAAAGTAATTAGTGACATTGTATCGTAACTGATAAGTGAATGGAAAAGAGCCACATTAATAATGTGTGCACAATCGAGCCCAGAAGCAGGAGTTGAATTAGTGATGCTTAGAGGGGAAGGTGTTTAGATTTAGTAAAACTATACAAAAATCTACTGTGTGAGATGACAGCATGCAGGGAGCCCCTCACAACATGCACATGCCACACATCCTTACCTTGTTAAACAAATACATTATCAGCGCGCGCTTTGCCAAGAAATTCTTAACCTGTATGGGACAAGTATAAAGTTGTTTGGCTTTCAAAACTACACAACAAAATGTAACACAAGTGTAGACATAATGGCTTTACAGACTTGTAGACCTTAACAGTGGGCTGAAAAAGATGGATGACCACTCAATCATTATTAGCCCATGTCAATACTAATAAGTATGAAAAGACATCCCTCAATGCTGTGTAAACATAATATTACATGTATTGTATGTTGGGATTCTGTGTACCTGTTCTTTTCTGTTCTGAAGGAACTGAGCCAGGCGACTTGGTTTGGACGGCTCCTGCTTGGGACTGGGAACTGAGGCAGGAGATGCTGGGGGACTCCCATTGACCTGTGAATCTGCACAGCGAGGCAAAGCAACAACAAATAAAAAGCTCAGATATCTGCCAGTCATCCATTGGCTACCAAACGTATCTGATGATACCCTCGCCTATAGGTTGACATCATGCCACGCCGGACGTTCCAAAGCGTCTGTTTAGTCATATGAGGTGAACAAATACAGAAACGGGTACAAATTACACCTCAAAGTTGACCCTAACCGCATTGGTTTCCGAGCAAGAACAGATTGAACAAAATTACACGTGTCCGTCTGATTGCAGTGACTTGATTTCTTCCGTCAGCCTCCTCTCACCTGTGGAGGTGGACCAGAGCTTTGGAGCTCTCCTCATGATGTGCGGGCTTTGCACTGTGCCAAACCACGGCGAGCATTGGTCCATAGGTGCGGTGAGACGGCGCAGGGCGGGAGAAGAGAAAGGGCTGTCCAGGTCAGGAGTGAATGGCGCCGTCAAAGGGCTCTGTGGGAAGCCACCAATGGAGCGTGCGAACACAGAAGCGGGAGTTCTCAACAGCATGGCGGGCCTCGGGCTCATCAGATCTTCTGGGCCCGAGGTTACTTTGAGAAAGAAAAAAAAAAAAAAGAAGGGGTAAATAGTAAAAAAGGGAACCAGGCATGGACATTTTTTTTCAATTTATGTTTTTTAAAAGCAACATACCCGATGACTCAGATGAAGTCTTCCGTTCACTCCCGGAAGACAGCGATTTGGACCTGCCATTGGTTGCTACGGTGTCATGGTAAGCTACGAGTCTCTGGGTCAGATCAGCCAGCAGAGACAGACACTCCTTAGTGATGGCGTTCCAATTGTGAGGATGGCCACCTGGGAGAGACAAGAATGCAAAGATAATGAAAAGATTGCCATCAGGGTATCATCAGCCAATAGTGTACAAATACAATCAGTCAGTCACAACTCATGTAAGGGTCACTTGTCCGTGTAGACAGCCATACAGACCTGGCTGACTCAGACTGAAGACCTCACAGCGTCTCGATGGGGAGTGTTGGGACAGCAGAGCGAAGTCCTGCAGAGCTAGGAACTAAAATTTGGAAAAAAAAGTTACAACACCCCTGTGTGATCAGCAGCAAGCCCAAATTAGAGGGAAATCAAGTATGCTACCTTCAATATCATTGGCTGCTTGTCCGTAAGAACTTTAGGGAGACACTGATGGGCATCCTCGGTAAAAGATGACTGCACAGGAAAACTGTACACCTGCAGAGAACAGGAAACATAGTCGATGACATTTTATCTGAAAAGTGCTGAAGTGTAAATTGAATCAAGAATGCGAGATGAGCTCTGGTCTGGTGCTCTTTGGATACCTGAGAACTCAAAGTAATGACAACACTGCCCCCTAGTGTCTATAAATAATTAAAAAGCAAGCAGAAGGGGTTTCTGCAACACAACACTGCTGTTAAGCCAATTTGTGTCACAACAGGGCAATAACATGTGATTGGTCGGTCACGGCCAGTGGGCCCTGTTGTGGATCTTGAGCCTTTTGATGTAATTGAGTCACATACCTCAGTGACAAATATCCTAAAAAGCAGCAGCGTGATGTGCCATGTGAAGAGAAGGAAGCTGGCACTGATCCACTGGTGGTAGAGGAGGGAGGGGTCCAGCAGTCCAGGTATGCTGTCCAGAGGGTGGACAGAGCTGGAATAGGAGATCACAGACATCACTAAATGAATACAGGCCAGGAAGCAGCACTGTGTGCCTGCCAGTCATTTTGTTTGTACAAATTGCAAAGCCAGAAAAATAAAAGAAAAAAAACATACTGACCTGTTTAAATGAAGATTCAGTGTTTTACAAATCCATGCTTTTGGAATGTATCCTGTTAATAAACACATTGAGATATTGTGTCACTTCCAACAAGACAATTAACAAAACAAAAACACAGCTCAGGTACAAAAAAAAGTTACTAGAAGAGAATTTAATTTAGTTTTAGTTCAGTGTTATCGAGGTTTAATTTATAGACAGATCACTTACCCAAAAAGAAATACATAACGATGTAGTTCCTGACACAGTAAAGTGCTTGAGTGGAGCTGCACCTCACCACCAAAAGTAAGGATCCTTTAAAGCGAAGGTATTTGTATTGCTGTGGGAAAATATCAGTAGGTTAACATCAACGCATATTAACCTTTAAAAAAAGGTACCGGTTCCTCTTTTCTACCTAAGTTTAGCCCAGAATGTGTTGCTGGAGAGAACACGGCTTACGACATAATCAGTAAGCGTGTTGATTGGCAGGAGTGTCAACCAGATCTCACGTAAAATTTATACAGATTCTAAATAAAAACAGATGGCCGTCTTTGAGCGACCATAACAACTTATAATTGGCCAACCCCCCCCCCACCCCCCTCCCTCAACCCCAATGGTGGCTGTAAGGACTCCCCCTAAGTTGTTGGTGAACTCATATCACATACCTGAACAGTGTGAAAAGAGACATAGTTCATGTTGTAGATCACACCGAGCAGACTGTGAGAAAATCCAACAAAGGCTCCAGCGAGCAGCAGGATGAGGTGATATTCATTCAGACACATCTGAGGCAAACGGTCGGTGCTGGAAAGAAATTGAAGAAATTAAGATGGCGGACACAGCATGTAAAGCTCTACATGAGGAGTTGTACGTGACAGCGGCTTACTCATCATTCTGTATGCAAGGGCCTCCGATTGACTCATATCTGCCCCCGATAGTGACAGCACAACACCAAGCCACGATTGTTCCCATGATGCAGTGGGCCAAGGAGTGTACGAGCTGGCGAGGATGGAGCAGCTGACCCAACAGGGCAATTCTTGAGCATGCAATTGTTGGGATGACTAAAGGGAAACAGATAAAACACAACCAATTGTTTTTAGCCGACAACACCCCACATGTCAACATCACTGATGTTACTCGCCGACACCCATCACAACTGTAGTGATTTCTTTACTTCATTATAGTAAAAAAAAACATCATGCATTTCTGACCTTTTTACATATTTGTCATGGCCTCGGAGAAGGTTTATGATAGATTTGAGACTCGTTGACTTGTTGAGTTTTACGTGACATCTTGAAAGGTGTAGTGTTGTACTTTTGGTAGCAAGTTGCACCGTTTGGAATTTGTTTGTTTAGAGCGTTTGGGCCAAATAAACATAAAAAATTGCAGGGGTCTACTTTGTGAGGACAGCCTGGTCCGGCCGTGGGACCAAAGGTGGATTTACTTCATGGGTAGTCATTGTAAAGAGTGGGGATGTCTGAGGTTGATGCGTTGATTGCATCCAAGGAGATGCTGGATACGTTTACTAAAAGGAGCAGTTGCTCTTGATTGCTGATATTTAGTGTTGGTTGTGAGAGTTACATACTCTTATGGTGAATGACCTGTAGCCAGACATTGAAAAAATAAAAAATCTTCAAGGATTGTAAAGTGACATACATCATACACATAGATAAACTTTTAATTGCTAAGATGTGGCTTTTCTCGGATAACTGGAAGCCAAATAGACCCAAGGACTGTGTCAGTGGAGGAAATAGTTGATATATATTATTTGCATATATATCTGCCGCCCACCTGTATAATACTCCAGGTTCAGGAACCCCACCATGATGATCACTCCACACATCAGGATCAACGAGAAGATGGCACTTGCACATGTTGCGAACGACAGGCATTCTGCGGGAAAGAATCCACCGTGAGATCCACACTTCAGATTATACGTACGAGCCAAACGTCAAACTCTGCTTTGTTTGTGGTGACTGACCTGATATGGTTTGGATGGGGTGGAGCAGGCTGAACCTGCTGAGGATAACAAAAAGCGCTGTGATGGGAAGCAACAAAAGGACAGCCCAAGCAATACTGGCCACAGCTCTCCAGCAGACCACCTGAAAAGAGCAGTCAGATTATTAAATAAATAAATTATTAATCCATTTTTACTCGGCAGTGGCTCAAACAAAAACGTATCCGGCTTGTTGGTGGTCAATATCTTAATAATAAAAGAATGTTAGGAAATTCCAAAAGGTCTCTGGAGATATGTTTGCAGACCAATGATGTCTTTTGCTGAGTGATATGAAATATAGTGACAGTTTATTAATAAGTTCAAACAAGACTTGTTGGCAATTTTACTATTCCACAATGAGGAAAGATGTTATACATGTTTGAAATACATCCAGACACAATTATTGACAAACAATCGCATGTTCACTTCTACAATCTTCTCAATTTGATCATTATATAAAGTAGGGGTAAAAATACATCCCCTTTTATAGATTACTTTATAATTGCTTTTTCTTTCCGAACAGGTCTCACAATGATATCAGAGTAACTTTATAAACAATCACGTTAACTTTAACTATAACGCTGTATTTCAAAACCGCGGATGTAATTTAACAACAAGATTTATCTGCTTGATAATCCTTATTGTTGCCTTCCTCTGATTTTCCTGCATAATGTTATATGCTCATACGTGCAGAATTTAACTTCTATTTGTTCATAGCGCATCTTTTAGGAAAGTGTTTTTGTATTATTTCTGAAAGATGCATTAGCTTCGCGAACAATAACTTACCGACGAACTAACGTTAGCATAACCAGGCTACGAGAGGTTAGCACGCGAGCACTCGTAGTACGTTTTGTATTTAATGAAAGAAGAACTTAAAAGTGTAGTGACTCACCTTTCGGACAAACCAACAACTTTGTTCGTTAGAAAACATGCTGCTTGGATGAAGGGAGAGCCAAACAGCGTTCAAATCTCTTCGGCTCTCCTGCTGTCAAACTATTTCCCCACTGTTTCCCATATCGCGCCTCATGCATTCAAAGGACCCTTGAAGGACCCCGATAAAAGGTGTCCAGGCTCCTGCCTGGTGGCAGCGTCACATCCACCCGAATTCAGTTTGATAAACGTATTTTACTGCAACAAAACAAATATTTATCAATGTTGACGAGGCAGTCTGGTCAATGCAGGATGGAATAAACGGAATAAGCTCACAGACCATTGCTTTTGAAAGCTGCTTGAGGTAAATGTTTAAATGTAGGTTTAGTTACACAAATAGTAAGATAACTACATTGCAACAGAATCAAATTACACAATGCACCAAAAAAAGCCAGAAATAATAATCAATTAAATAGTATTCAATTTGACTAATTTGGTAGTTATTTCCAGATATATTAGCTACATCTCCCCCTTAATTTCTCAATCCAGTGTGTTAGTGAATATCAGTCATTGAGCCTATTCCCTTTTTTATTCCTTTTGTTTCATCATGCATGAAAGCCTTCTCATCATGATGATAGCCATTTCCATAGGTCGGAAAACTGTGCTTATCCAAAGTTGTTTGGTTGAGGTCCCGAGAGAATGACTTGCTCTCAAAAGCATTGACTGGAAGCTTTTGGGATGAACTGACGGACATCTCAGTTTGAACTACTTTGTGGACAAACGCTTTCTGCACAGGTTTCTGGGCAATTGCAGGGAGGGCAAGCTGCTCCCTTTGCACCTTCTTGTCTTCCCACAACTTCAGCAAGCGGCGTTGATTATTTGTCATATCCTTGAGATTTTGCTGCAACGATTGCACTTGTTCCTCTAAGAGTGTTTTAGAGGTGACGGTATTCGCCAACTCTGAATTCAAATCATCGATGGTCAGATTAAGTTTGCCGCTCTTCTCCAGCAGGAATTTGCACTCACGGTCCTTTTCCTGCAAGTCATTGATTATGTCCTTTGTGGTCTTTCCATTGAACTTAGAGCTGCACTCAAGTCCAATCTCCGTACGCAGAGCCTTCACTTGTTTCCTCAGCTCCTTGTTGTCCACAGTCAAGCTCTTCAGTTTCTGTTTCACGGCTTCAGATGAGCGCACCTTGGACTCGTACTGTCGGAGTTTCTCTCTGAGAACACTTTCTCTTTGCATGGCATCATCTCGTTCTTTTCTGCATTTCTCCAAAAGTCTCAACGTCTCGAATTTGGACCCCTTTTCACCCTTCCCATTTGAGTGGGCCATCCTATGGGACAAATTTCTTTTTCAAGTAATGACTTTACTCACGAGTTAATCGAACTTTCTTGAGCATCATGTTGGTAAATCCACCTCACAGGCACAAGCGGCTGCATGCATGTGGAAGACTGAGGCAGGTGACATTCCTCTAATGGGGTTATCCGTTTGAGAGGCAGCTCTTGTGTAACACAAAGCTGGGGCTAGAATGACCATTAATTAGGGCAGCAGCATCCATGTGAAACCGTTTCAAGTGACATAATTTATCTTTTTAATTTGTTAAATACTCTGAGAACATGACACAAGTTGGTGACCACACGCTGGGTGTCTGTTTAAATAGGCCTTCACATAAGTAACATTTCCACTGCTGGTGATTTTTACATCCAAAGAGCGACATAGTAGATTCTATCAGCTTGCTCAACCACACAATAATTAAAATGGATGAGTTGGAAAAACAGTAGCAGCAGCCAAATGTCCACACTTAAAGTTAGACGTCCTCTTTGTGAAACCAACATTTCAAAGGTGTATTTCAATGACCAACAAACCCTCCCTTAAATTTTTAAAAAGCTGATTTAAGACTGTCTGAACTAAAGACTAAGTAAGGAGGTTTACAAAGGTTTTTTACTGACATCTTAAGCATATGATGGAAATGTCCAGTCACTTAAGTCCGATCAAAAAAAGTAGAAAAGTAAGAAACAAGATGTTTGTTTTTTTAAATTCATTTGAATGGCAGTTGGTGTTAAGCTTACGTCTCCCTTGTTTAAAATATGGAGAACATGTCGAAAAAACTATTCGAATGAGGTTTGAAGAAATAGACATTTTGGAAAATGTCTTGAGTATCTACTTGAGTTAGATGATAGGGTTCATTTTACTGTCATAGCTTTAGCCTTGTATTGAATTGAAAGATAACAGCCACTTCACTTACATGAAACTAAATTAAGTCAAGAGAATGCCAGAGCAGCAGCAAAGTGTCGTCAAAATAAAACGGACGGAGACAGTTTAACTATCATTGGCAAAGTGCTGCAAGAAAATAATGGCAACCAATCAGTAAACAGCATCCTGGGACTCCTGCAATATGTTGACCTGTTACATAAATAATTTCTTCCTGTCTGCAACATACAGACACACATAATCGCTGCCAAAGAGTCTAACCATCATTTAAAGCCACAATTAGCCCCTGTCTGGTGTGATTCTGGTGCAATGCTGGGAAGTAACACATTGTAACAAATTTAAAGATAATTTCCTTTAAGTGGAATTATTTCTTTAGTATGCAAAGACAGTATGCAATATATCCGTTTAATTTGCGCTTCAATTCATTTTACTTTCCTCCTCTAAACCCTCATTGAGAACAGACAAATTCCATTTTACACCTTTGATCAGCTATATAAAACCTAATTAATTAAAACAAGTTATTACACATGTAAATACCTTGGACATTTAGGATGGGTCTTTGGCATTAGTTGTGGGCACTTGCGGTTGAATCAGTTCGAGGAAAATACAATTGCACTATTTGTACAAAGGTTTAAAATGTTATAATACACATAATTACTGTGCTGTTCATTTGGAATATTTTTACACAAAATATACTGACATGTACCCATTTACTACATATAAAAAAAAAAAATGCATATACAAAATGCCTATGAAGCTACCAACGTTGCTCCGCAGAATATTACCTAAATATTTCAACATAAGAACTATAAAGGGGAAAGCAACGACCACAAGAAATCGTATGTGCGGTGTAACACCATAACCCATTATCTTTATGGAAATGTAGAACCCATCCCATTAGAAAAACAAACTTGGAACAACTGCATGACCTCTGAAAATAAACACTTGCATCAAGAATGCACCCTGGGTTTTAAAGGTCTTGAGCCAGAATGTTCGAGTGAAGGTGAAATCCAGACGATCCGTGACTTCATCACCACAGCAACCCAATTCTCTCTTAATAAGGCCACCGGAGAACCTGCAATTTAAAGAAGAATGACACTTGCTTTGGAAAGGAGAAATCATGTAAAGGAAGTCAAGGTGGGATGTCCCGCCCCCCTAGCACCCCTCCCAAATAAAAAAAGAAACAATCTCAAGCTTAAACTCCTAAAATAGGCTCACAAACTGGCCATGAGAAAGTACAAGTCGGAGGAATATGACATACGCGTATCGGGTATTTATTAGTGTATCAGGTCAATGGGATCATGCCTTGAAAAGCGCCTGAGTCACTATTGTTTACCTTTAGAAAGAGAAAGGCTTTCATGTTGTGTGGGGGGCTTTGGTCACTTCTGTTGCGGAAGAAAGTTCACCTGGTAGTAAATCTTCTGGTTTGCTGAAGAAATAGGTCTGAAAAGCACAAACAAGGAAAGTAAGAGTATTAACAACCCGACAAAGAAACATCACAATATTAAGAGAAACTACCGATCCATCCAAAACTAAACTCAGTGTCTCCGTTGTAATGAGTGCAAGAAATGTTTAGTGTTACAAGAGACACTACAGCATAAACCCGTTCAACCGTCAGACCATCAGGCTTACTTTGTAGACTAATTACATGAATGTGACCAGACATAAGATACCTCTCTGGACTCGACAGACATGTACAATCAGGCGGTCTTCCCGCCAATTAGCCAATGCAGTCACAGTTTCCAGTGAAGAGAGTCTCCCCAGGGAGAGTTAACGTGACACTATCAGGTATGGTCGTTACCCAGAAACCACACGTCGGTAATTGACAAGTGGCCGTGCCACTGAGATCACGGAGGACAAATTGAGAGTGGTTCCAATCATTGTTATCTACACCAGGAGGGACAGGCAGCTTGAATTAACTGGGTTGATAAATATATTGTTTGCCAAAGTAGGGCAAAGGATTTTGTATTTTATTTCTTCAAAGTGATTGATTTTCCATTCCTCACAAATTTGTAATTCATCTTAAGAGTAAAGTTATGTATCAACATCATAGAACATAATTACCTTACAGCCGACAGCAAGCAGGGCGTTTAACACAACAATGGATGACATAATTGCTATGATAACTTTAGGGTGGTCATCCCTGACCGCCGGCCAGAAAGTCGTCCCCAGAACTGAGCCAGAGAGGAAGAGGGCCACCACGATGGTGCACCACCTCAGCCATTCGTACGGGAGAATCCATAAGACCTTATGTTGGAAAAGTGCATTAAATAACATTTTAAGTCACATTTTATGAGAATTACTAGAAACACAATGAATGTCAGAAACGTTTCATGACACAGGGCAACTATCAAGATTTGTTATGAAGCATCAATGATGATGTGTTAAAGGCTAAATTAAATCATTAAATCGAACGGTTCAAATCTCACTGTAAAAGGTACATTGAAAACTGAAAAAACATGCTGTGTGAAGAAATAATAAAAGAAACAAATGTTACATTTCATAAAGTGGAATGTTACAAATAATTATATATATAAAATAATATTGTTTTCATTACAATTCAGAATGAGAAGACAAAATCCACCAACTAATAGTGACTGTGCACCAAAACTCTGAAAAGAAAATTGTATATCTTACCACTGTCGGTATGTAAATGAAAAGGGAATATCCATACACACAGGCGATCTCCATGAAGGAGTATGACACCAAGTTCATGATCTTGTTGTTTCTCCATAGCAGGAAACCCCACAGGGCAAGGGGAACAAACCAAGCATAGCTGAAGATCGCTGTTGCAGCTATAGTCACTAGAAAACACAGCCAAATAAGAGTATATAAGCTAAATGTACGGTCTACTCTTCCATTCAACCAGCAAAAGGAGCTATTAAAAACAAAGAAGTACCTTTTTGAAACTCTGGGGTATACTTGTAATTTGGTTTTCCCAAGTGCGTCAGAAAGTTTGCTAGGTTTCCACTGATAGCAATAGCAAACACAAGGGTGGTGCAAATCCAGAATGGTCCTGCAATCACACGTATCAAGAAATTTTAACTTCAGTTTGTGTCCCCCTCTTGTTAGGACATAAATGTTAAATGGTTTGTGAGCCTACCGTACAAATCCGGATTTCTACGAAGGTGCGTATGAATAAAATTCTTCCCAGGCCACGGCAGCACTGATCCAATGATTCTTTCCTTCACCTGAAAGAGATAAGAACCATTACACATGTTAAGGTAGTTGAGGCTACATTTGTTGAAACAACCTCTATATTAAAAGACAAAATGTAACAGCAGTTAAAATTCATTAAAATAAGTTAAAAATATATTACGTGATGGGTCTCGACGTCAAAAAATCTTTGATAGTACTCAAATGTCCAGAAGGGGACACTTTTCTTTTGGCCAGAGAGAAGCTTAAATTGAAAAAAAACACAAGAGAAAATAGAAATGTATCAGACAAATATGTGATTCAGCAACGCTGAACAGCTGAAGGAAGTGCTATTCTTATGCAGACCTCCGTCTTGTCATCACTGGCAAGTGGGTCCTCATCCTCTCCAGCAGGAGAGAAAGCAGCAGCTTGTCTTTGCTTCTCGGGCTTGATTTCGTCATCTTCAATGCTAATGGTGGTTGCATCCCTGTTGGCTTCCAACAGATTGCCCGCTTCTTCAAATTCTAAATGTCATAGGAGGGATCAGTTGGAAACGTTAATCCAAAAATGTGGATAGTTTATATGGGTGAACTGTGCAGTTTCTTCGACCAATAAGTGCAGTACAGGGAGACTAAGGAGGAGTGGAGGATATTTACCGTGAAACTGGAATGGGTCATTGGTCGACGCCATTTAAACGGATCACCTCGCAGTAAAACGTAACGTTTATGGGCAAGTAATGACAACTTACTCTGGGAAAGCTATGGAGGAAAGAAAATAATATTCATCACCCCGATGCTTAACTACTCCCTCGCCGTAAGCTTTTTAATGAATACATAGCAAACTATATGCAATACAGAAAAACAAAGTTAGCTCAAGTTAGCCCTTAATTGACAGCTCTTCAACAACATTAGCTTAGTTAGCTAACTGTATTTGATCATTAGCTAACGTTAGCTTACTAACGTAACTTTAGGACTAAAGGCCACAGTTCTATTTAAAAATCAGAGCGCATTCAAACCAATGCATCCTTACCAGATAAACTACCAAAACCTGTAATAATTTCACTTCCGTGAGGTTAGGTTGGAACAGGACATCCTAGCCAGAGCCGTTTAATAAACAGTCACGTCATCTCATTGGAAGCGTCTCAACAGATCCCGGATGTTAGTGGCGTCTAGCAGCCAATGGGATGGAGCTGTAGTGCTGGAACAGATCGCGCATTAACAACTCTTCTACTTCTTCTGGTGTTACGGTGGGTGCATTACCGCCTCCCTCTGGTCCAGAATGTATCCCTCATAAAAACAGCGACAACGTACGCCACGTTGGTCGATGTTGTATCCATCATTGTATCCTACTGCAGAAGAATTCTCACGGCACATGTTGGAAATATCTTCTAGAATATTTAGTGCTAATCAGACTAATGAATACACTTTGGAAACTATGATATTTTGGTTTGTTTGAGCTTAGTGTTCACACTCCAGAGGACAGGGGGCGGTAATGCCTCAAAACAACGGTTGGCCAACTACCACTAAAAAAAAGAAGAAGAAGAAGAAAAGTGTATTTGGAACAGTAACGTGAAGTCGGTGGAATAAATCAAACAGGTTAAGTTAACGGAGGGGAAATGACCCTCGTTAGAGGTTTACGGCTATAAAAAAAACATTTCCAAAAATGTACAACGTTGCGCTTTAATAATTCACATGGGACCCGATAGCAGCTAACAAAATAAGTGTTTTAAAACTCGGGAGTCTCATCCGTTCAGTCTATGACCATGGATTAGCTAACTAACGCTAACCAGCGAGCTAACGTCACCTGGATTGTTTTTTTTTCTTGTATGTTTTTTTTTCAAAAACGCTTCAGCCGTCTAAACGCAACTTCGTGACCTCCATACTCGTCCGCCTTTCCCACGGGTAAAGAAGGACCTTATTATGGACGGCAGCGCCATTTACGTCCGAGAAAGGGGCAACCTGCGTCGTGTCAGCGACATAGTGCTGGCGCAGCCGAAGCCGGTGTCGTCATGCAGAAGGACGAATCCGTTTGTGCTGCGGAAAGAGCACTTCATATTCACCTACAACGCGGAGGGCAGCCTGAGGTACACCACCAAGTCTCTCTTCGACATCGCCCTGCTGTTCGTGGCCGACAACATCCACCACGTGGATTCTCTGGTGGACTTCCCCGAGCAGATCGGGGACCGGCTGTTCGCGGCGGCGGAGGAGAACCGTGTGTTTTTAAACGCAGACATTTCGCCCAAAGCCCTGCGGCTGTTCGGTGACGCTTACGGGGAGATGGTGCTCGGATCACTGTGTCTGAGAAACCGGTAAGTGGCATTGCCGACTTTGGTTGACCTCCTCAAAGTTGTACTCGCCAGAGAAAAAAGGCAAAAGCATCCGTCTTCACCGTTTCCGTGTCCTGCAGATTTCCCCTCCTGCACGAGAGAATGGATGAAATCAAAACCTTCCATAGTTTGAAGTCTTTAGACCTGTTCGGCTGCAGACTGGGTGACAACCACGAGATATTCCAGCATCTGACATCCGGCTCGTTGGCCAGGTACTAACTAATTTATTTCCCCCCCCTACTTAGGTGATGTGGATAAAGGTCAATGTGACTGACACATCTGCCTTTTCTTCCTCAGCAACCTGGTTCAACTTTTCATTGGCGGTAACAGTCTTTCGGATGTCGGCCTTCAGCGGTTGACCGCACCGATCCGGATGCTGAGGAAGGGACTGGACTCACTTCAGTTACTGGATGTTTCCTGTTAGTAACCCAAATGTAATCAGCTGTTTTAACACCTCCTGGTAAAAGAGATTAGAAATTGACGTTGGTTTGTTTTACAGATAACCCCATTACTGTGAGAGCTTTAGGATACCTCACATGCTTCCCTAAACTTGAAAACCTTGATGCATCTGGGACCAGTTTAAAGGTACTGTGTTTGTGCGTAACACTTTGGTGCTGCTTGTAGTGGTGCTGCCATTTAAAATGGGTTCTATACCTGCAGCTTGGGAGTGGACTGAAGACGACCATATGGGACCTGCTGGGGCTCATTTATTCCGAGAAACCACTGGACACCTTTGATCACTCGAGATGTAAAACAGAAGGTTGGGCAGAGCAGGTAAATGTTTTCAGACGCTGATAATAGTTGACGTATGTTTCTTTAATGCAAGCCATGTAATTTAATTAGGGGTAAATGTTGCAGATACAGAGCTGTTTGGCATCCCACATAATCATGCATTGTTTCCTTTCCAGGTTGTAAACCAGTGGGAGACAAATAGTTCACAAATGCCAAAGCTGAAGAAGATGGATGAATCCAGAACATCAGCACTCCGCTTTTGTACGATCGTTTTGAGTCAAATTTACAATTTTAATAATTCTTTGTAAAAGTCAAGATTATGAGGTATTATGGAGGGGGGTCTCATGAGTGTTTCTGTTCTCTAGTCGGCCGGCAGAAGTTCGTCAGAGAAGTGCTGAGTGCAGCACCGTCGGCACGTGGCGGCGAGAAGGAGGCAGAGAGAGAGAGACTACACTTCTTCAGACCCGCAGAGAACGATCCCCTGCCAGAGAGACCGAGTCCTTCCACAACAAACCATCAAGGCAAGCCTTCCTGGCACAATCTCAAAAAAAGGCAGCGCCAGTCAGAAAAACGCGACGGTTCGCATCAAAGTCCTCCAACAAAACGTTTGTCCTCGTCAGCTCTTTCCGCGGAGGACAATGACTTGTTGAACAGCTATTGAGGTGTGTGACCGTGCAGCACGCTAGGCACAGCTGGGGTCTGTCGGCGAACCCTCGAGCCCAGATGAACAATTCAGGCCGGTGAACTGAAAGTCCCTTTTCTTGGATGCAGTTGGCGTAATGTTTTAGAAATAAAGTTTTGTATTATTTATACGTCCACTTCCTTGCGTGACTGTTGATTTGAGCTAGCTGATTTTTAGCTGGTCCCTTATTGACTTACCTTCCGGTTTCAGAGGGACCCTAGATTAGGAGTCTTTTCATATTTGTTCATGGACAGTGTTGTACACAATGGGGAGTAGAAGGCCAACTGATGCAAATAACCTTGAGGTAATGTATCACTTTGCACTGCTCCCTCACAGCCACAAACCCCTTTAACCAGCTTGTTTTCTCATATGCAAAAGTACTCAGACTATTGAAACAATGTTTGTGCAGGTCTGCCAAAATCAAATGAGCACACAACAAACCTGGTTATGGAATATAGCAACGCAGGAACAGTACAAAGGGCAAAGAAGGCTAATGTCAGTTATTCGAATCTTTTGGGGGAAATTGCTGTCATTGGACCTTTTGAGACGACTTCAGGAGCAGTTTTGACTAAAGGGTTCTTTAAAATGGTTTCTTCAGTTAGCCTCAACATTACTAAAGTATGCCAGAATAAAGTCACCTGTGTCAACGACTCACTCCATTGTATTTAATCCTGATCAAGCATTATGAGAAAAAACAGTGAAGGAGGAAACACTTAAATGTGGGAAGGAGCATCATTTTATTGTAAAATTAATCTGTAAATGATTACAGTACAAACATGAACATACAGTGAGTCTGCAGTATTAGCACAAATCTATAGGACAATAAAAGGAGTTTGGGTTAATATCACTTCAAGTCAAACATTGAATTTATCCATTTAATAAAAATAAGCACACCGAGAGAATACCAATGCACACATTGAAGAAAAAATTCAAAAGCATATTTCAAGTGTACTGCTGATTAAGTTAATGCCTCAATTATACCAGTATACAAAAAAACCTTCATCATTTGTTTTAAAAGCATCAACAAAGGTAGACGAGATATTGTATCAATTATACAAAATCTTCTGAGAGAAGACCAGGTCCTAGTCCAGAGGAGGAAAATCAAACATCTTATTCTGTGCTGAGTCTTTGGCTTCTAGACGTCTGACCGGCTCAGGTCGACTTTGGGAGGGAGCGGCCCGGCCTCTTCCTCGGATCCTTTGGAGGTAATGATCAGCAGGGAGGAGGCTGGATATGGAGTCAGTTTCTTTTCCATTATATTCTCACTGTCCCCATAGATGCTCAATTTCTGAATAGAAAAAAAAAGAGGTTAAAAAAAGCAAAACTAACATATCCCAAATAAAACTGAGTATTTCAAACAGTCCGTTTCACATATAGGCGTGAAGTTAATTCTTAAAGAAGTGTTTTGAATTCCCCCCTGAGTTGGATAAGACCGTTGCTACTTTCTCAACTAGTCAACCTGCTACATTGCTGCACAACGACAGGGAGCCGCCAGCTTGGCAAAGTCCAAAGATTAAACCTTGTCTATTCAAAAATTGTGCAAAAGTTGCAGTGCACAAATGCTTGTCAACCAGCGGAAACAAAGTTGCTGATCCTGAAATATTTCGCCAATTAAATCCAATATTATATTATGTGCTGCTTTATAATTTGTGGGCTTTATGGGGGCGGAACAGAACTTACCTCAGCAGGTACATACTGGTCCACAGCAGTTGCCACAGTGGCACAGCAGATCCAGATCAGCACCACCACAGACAGGATCAGAGTGGTGGTTAGGATCCACCCTGGTAGCCAAGGGTTCCTGAGGAGATAATTACAGCTATGAGACCCGAGTGACTAATTGCACGTTCTTGGAATCGAGTTGACAATTGAACTCCCTAGACAATGGGGAGATATGAGTTTACAAACCTGGAAAGACAGTTGAAGAGGTTGTATTGATCATCATAGCCACGGTCCCCGGTCATATCTCGGTCCCTCTCCTGGATTAAAGTGCGCTGATAATCTTTGTAAACTGGGCTCATTCCAGGAACTTTTAAATGAGAATTAAAAATTACTTGACATGCAGTGTTGAAACAGAAAAAAGATGGAATCTGTCTGTTGCACTTAAAAAAAGGGACGATAATACTCTTGATAACCCACACGGCCATTGTTGATTATAATGAGGAAACGTGTACATTTTTACATGCGTAAAGGTATATGCAAAATCCAGTTCTGACTCTACAAGCAATACTTTTTGGATAATTATTGGATCGTATGAAAACGGAGTGGAAAACCTACAGCTCTTCTGTGGCTCTTCCTCTTTTTCCACTTCAAACAGGGAGAAAAACTGGACATGTGGTTCAGTCTGTTAAACAGAAAACGGAGATGGATTTTCAACACTGTATTTACAATTGGACCTTAACAAGATGTTTGCATACAGAAGGTCGAATTGCCTCATGTTTTTTTCCCTACCCGGTTCATACTCTGTGCAATACCTGGAAAATGACAACTTTGCCGTCATCAGCCTGGAGGTAGAACGTCCAGGTGGAGGTGATGAAGCTGTGGGCCTGATTCATCACATCATCCCAAAAGCCTCTGACCAGAGTCATGGGGTACAGCATGTGAATCCTGGGCATCATGGCCTCCAGCTGAAAAGGGAATAAAGCAACACAGAGTGAGACGCATGCACCGGGTAGGTACCGCCCCAGAATGTAGCAAACTGGCATTACCTGCTCATGCCGTTGCTCAGCAAACGGAAGCTGATTCTGACAGCCCAGGTTGCACGCGTACTGCTCATCGGAATGGCTGTAGGCTTCACGGCAGGCTGCGGGAGTTTTAGAGGTGGGAGGTGTGAGGGGGGGTCACAAATGTTAAAAAACAGGAATCGAGCGGGTTATGAAGCGATATTAAATACGACCGGAGGCTCACTTGATTCACACTCGGATTTCGTCTGATTGAGATCGTCACCGTCGCGAACAAACTGGCAAATGGAGAACAGACGGCAGCCTCTCTGGCAGGCGTAGAGTTCCTCCTCCTGCAAAACAAATAAACAGGACCAGCTGATTGCCTTGACAAACCAGAAAAACAACAACCAGCACCACCACCACCACCACCGTAGGAGACGACTCGCGTTTAAACGCTCATACAAATGTCCTCCTTCGCAAGCAACATGCCAGTAAACTAAATTCCCTTGTGCCGAAGTGCCAGCGGGGTCCACTTTGCGTCCAACAAGACACCAAACGTTAGCTGACGCTAGCTGACATTGTCACTTCCTTCCCGGAGAGGCGAGTGCGCGGCACTCACCCGCGGAAACGTGTGCAAACTGTACGTCATTTCACATGACTTGTGGCAAGACGATGTGCTTCCCAACACGCTGTCGAACACATCGGCAGATGTCGATGTGCAGGCGAAGAGCGCGAGCAGTCCCAGCGTACAGACGGAGAAGGCAAGCGTCCCCATTTTGTCAGCGAAAACTCCAAACAAATAACACGGCGTTGTGCCTTCCTCTTCTTTAATCGGCCTGGAATCTCGCGGTGACTGCGACTCTCGCGAGACCGTTACGCAAAGCGTTTCTGCGTTTAAGTGATGCTCGTAAACAATACAGGTTGTACAAAAATACTTTCTGTAGCATGACAATGCAGAATGTAACTTTATTTACTTGATTGCACAGTATTTGTACTTGCCCCTAACAAAAGATAAGCAAACCAAAAATGGTTCAAATATACATCCTGAAATACACAAATTCCTTCCCTACATTGGTTTTGCTTTCGAGACATAAATGAGCCTTATGTTATGATTTTGTTCAAGAAGATTGTTTCAAGAGGTAAAAATTGCAAAGTGTATTAAAGATAGTAACTTGAGGATTGAAATAAATTCTGGAATAGTAAACTCAATAATAATGTTTTCACTGTAAGAATAATGTTATGTTACCATAATATCGGTGTGGGGGATCATTCTGTAATTATTAACATTCATTTAGTTAGGCTATTAATATGACTAATACTTATCTACTCAATTATATAAAATGGCTGGGATGGACTCCAGCCCCCCCGCGACCCTGTGTGCAGGATAAGCGGTTTGACAATGGATGGATGGATGGATGGACTACAAAACGCAAAACCATTTCTCTGTTACTCACATGTTAGGTGGGCTCTGTTATTTCCGACAGCATTTGAAAGCAGCATTGGTCCCTACTGTTTACCATCGAGTGTCAGCTTCAGCTAGCTAGCCTTACCAAACAGAACCTTTCAACGTTGTGGTCATACAGGAAACTATCAACGGGTGGAGGGTGGCCAAATGAGTTAAACCAAGCTAGCAATGACTTTAATACATTGTTTTTATTCGGTAATAGTAGTCGTCCAACAGTTAGGTAGCGTTAACCGAGTAACTGTATGTAGCAGTTAGCATTTAGCACTGAGGCTCTCTGGACCCTCCTTATGAACTTTTTTATTGATACGCATTTCCCCGTTATTATTATTGAAGTGTCACCAGCTGTAGGTTCTTCAAACCACCTGCTAACGCTAAGTAGCTTTTGTGTTTTGAGGATGGACAAGTTTGTAGTGCGGCTTACCAAAGGGGGGACGCCTGCAAAACCAAAAGGCAACGAAAAGGTTTACAAACAAGCCACAATCGAATCTCTGCGGGTGAGCCATCGGTCCTGCGTGTGGGTGAACGGTTGATGAACGTGTGGGTGAACGGATGAAACGTTACTCCCTGACAGACGCACCTACACGTCCCTGTGCTTGGTCCGTTACAGAGGGTGGTGGTGATCGAGGACATCATGCGGTACAAGTCCATCATGGAGCTGCCAGACCAGAGCAAGGACGACCTGCTGACCGCCTTGACAGAGCTGAGCAAGAAGATCCCATCCAGGGAGGTGCTCAAGTCCACCAAGATAGGTAGACCGAGACTGCTGACACAATGCACAGCACATGTAGAACGCACAAACATGTACTGTGAGGTTGAGAAGGGTTAATATTCAGTTTAAAGTTCACACCTCAGGTGGTCACACTGTTCAGTTTAATGGACAGTTCATAGGTTGAACACACTGAACGGTCACAGGCATTGCCAATTCAAGTAATAAGAATGCACATTGCTCTAATTGGTTCATCGCATTATGAAAACCTCCCTGTCTCCGAAGGTCACACGGTCAATAAAATGCGCAAGCATCTTGATCCTGAGGTGAGTTCGATGGCTGCAAAGGTTTACACCGACTGGAGGACATTCATCGAGGCGAATTCTAACAAGCCGGGTATTGAAGTGCGCTCGGACACACAATCTGAAGGCCTCAGGAGCAACGCAACAAGGCTGCTGTCTGAGGCCCTGGAGGTCAAGGTGAGAAAGAGCGCCCCAGTGAAGTCCTATGTGGAAATTAGATTTTACGTCATATGTTCAGACATGGCAATGGATGGGATTTTTTGGCAATAGAAAATTGATGGAGCTATTAAAAATAGTGTTACTTTCAACGGTTGCTTAAAAAGAAACACAGTATATAAATCCTTTGATCTGTTTGCTTATGCATTTGTGTTTTTTCTGTTCTCATCTAACCAACAGGAGGATTCTGGTCTTATAGACAACATAGAGAGAGAAGTGTTTCACCAGAGCTCTCGGTTAGTCAGCAGCTCATACAGACGGACTGTTAGAGCGCTGGTGTTTGCCTTCAAACACAACACTGATATCCGAACTCAAGTGAAGCACAACACAATATCAGTCAAACAGTTGGTCTCTAAATACAAGAAATAACTGGCATTGAAATGTTCTGGTGTGTTTTTTCAAAGTTATGTTTTTTTAATGCATACATTTTTCACTTGTTCTCATTTTCTTTATTTTCTGTTAAGTGGCGTATTGTTTGGTAATGATATTGTCATCGCTTTGTACTGGGACTCTACAGTTTTTTTTCTTACTGTTAGAACATTTTTATACAAAATACAATTGAAAATAAGACAAAGAAAGCCTCCGAGTTCTTTGTTAAGACCACACGAGACCATATAATTGTGTACTATATATCTTAAAGCAGCACTAACCAAACAATAGCTATCACCATGAGAATAACGGCGAGAACACAGATGCTAATAAAGACGATGTCGCTCAGGTCGTGAGGCACAGCTTCCGGACCCCCTGTGTTGTCGTCGCTGCCACTGTCGGTTTGCTGGGCAGGAGGGCCTGCTCCTCGAGACGTCGCTCCTCGGCAGAAATGATCGACAGCGATGCAACCTTCCACAAGGCTTTGCACTGCGCTCAATATTCTCTGTACCACCGTGCTCTCTCAAAACACTATGGTTAGAATTTCTTATGACAAAATTGCAGAAGATATTCAGATGTTTTATTCAAATGTAAGTTTTCTAACCATCGTTTTTCTGTGCATACAAAACATTTTTAAATTTTATGGCACATCAGCAGCTTTACAATGCTTTGTCGTGGTAATGATATTGTCATCGCTTTGTACTGGAACTCTACAGTTTTTTGATCTGTTTGTTTATATTACTGTTAGAACATTTTTCTACATACAAATTGAAAATAAGACAACGAAAGCCTCCGAGTTCTTTGTTAAGACCACATGAGACCATAAGCGTGTACTATGTATCGCTAAAGCAGCACTAACCAAACAATAGCTATCACCATGAGAATAACGGCGAGAACACAGATGCTAATGAAGACGATGTCGCTCAGGTCGTGAGGCACAGCTTCCGGACCCCCTGTGTTGTCGTCGCTGCCACTGTCGGTTTGCTGGGCCTGCTCCTCGAGACGTCGCTCCTCGGCAGAAATGATCGACACCGATGCAACCTTCCGCAAGGCGTCGCACTGTACTCTATATTCTTGCACATTCCTCTGCTTCCCGTCAGAGAAATCAATGAAGAGTTTATTTACCAGCACCGTGATGTTCCGGTGTTTCTGCAAGGGATCAAGTGTTAATGTTACAGTGTTAATCGAAAGGAAGTTGTGAATGTCTCGGCCAAAATCCACATCTTTAAAAGCTAAAGGGTTAATAAGTGTATTGAAACTGTAGCTAGTCACCTGGCCGGCAGTACCACAGTTGACAAACTGAGCGAGGATCTTGTATGAGGTGGCCGTCAACTGAGCTGCACAGGTTGGGTCTCCCAGGTAGATGTTCTCCCGGTCCAGCTGAGGTAAGGACTGCTGTGGTATCAATATGGTGAATTCTGATCTTGTGCAGCTAACGTTTACAGGCACCACTTGGATCGGCGGGATGGGAGGGAAGACACAGTACACTGTTTTTTTGTCAAGATAAATGTTTTAGCGTGAGAGCGTAAGAGTTTGACTGTGGACATTTTGAGCAAAAGGGGCGAATGACTTAGACGTACAGCTCCCATAGCATACATATAACCAATAACCACACAAAGAACATTTACCTCCAAGATAAGAAGCAGTGAACCCTCTATGAGCCTCATTTCTGTCCGTGCTGAGGACCACCAGCAACTTGTTGCCCTTGGAGACGAGAAAGGGGGGCTGGTCCCTGCCACACCAGCGGCCCAGCAGGGCGTCGGCCTGAGTGTCTCCATCGTAAACGGCGACAGAGTCGTAGGCACACTCATCTGACAGACCGTTGCGGTCTTCCAAGTCCATGACGGGGAAAAAGAGTTTGATGCGGTACCCCGCTGCTAGAGTGACGCTCCAGTGGCAGTTGATGTTGTTTGGGTAGATGTTTGGGAAATGCGGGCTGCTGAAGTTGCCATTTACAGCCGACAGGACCTGCTGACATTCACCTGTTAGGGCACAGTTGATCAGAGGTGAATGCGGAAAAAAAATCTTTCTGTTTTAGAAGTTGTGTTATTATTGAAATTAAGTCCTTTTTAGTTTCATGTTTGCACATTTTAGGGAAACGTGCTTTCTACCCGACAGTTTGATTACAAGATCAAAACCACTCTCAACTGGCAGAGATGGTCTTAGTCTTCTAATATAACTTTTAGCAAAAAACAAGATTTTCACTCGCTTGGTAATTGGTTCATGCTCGACAATGTGAAATGGGGACAATCTATTATCAGCTGTCCAAGACGTATTCTCTAGTGATTTCCTTTGATTCAAGTCCCTGGTTTGGCAAGAACACTAAAGAATGTTTACTTTCTTACTTTTTCTTGTTCGCGGTAGTAATGGTGTGAGACTTGATGAGCTGTGCTCTATTCAGAGATGGTGCTTAGTACCTCGTACTAGAGGTGATATTTCTTGTGTCGTGTTTGAGGTCTTTCTGTGTACCTTGTTTCTTCCCATGTGATGTATGTGCATTTTCTGTTGCTTTTTCTCTTCTGAATAGGAAAGATTTCTGTGAAGTGTGCTTTACACATAGATCCCAATGTCTAACATAGTGACAGTAGATATACTGAGCTTTTTTCAGTTACAATTCCTGCAGGTACATCAACAATCAAGTCAAGGGGTTCAAATTCTGAAAGCAAGTGATAAGCCTTTTGCATACAGATGTGTATTTTCAATATAACTAATCCCACCAAATTGTCCTACCTGAATAATAGTAGGCCTTGAACCCACGTCCACCAATGTTGAAGTCGGACTTGAACATGACCAGGAGATGGTTTGACGAGGTCACTGTGTTCGGGGGTCTTTCTGCCCCGCAGTATTTACCCAGGTGGCGATGGGTGACTGTCGGGCCATCAAACAAGGCAACAAAGTCGAAATGACATCCCTCGTTGTTTTCCAGCTGGAAGTCCAAGAAGACCAAGGTGACCACACTGTTGTTGGACACGCGGATGGCCCAAGAGCAGTCGGCATTGTTGCTGTACTCATGAGGGTAGCCCGGGCTGGAGATCACGCCTGAGAGGCCAGTTAAGACTCCTCCACACATATCTAGAACGGATGGGAGGAAAACCGAAATGCAAAAACACTCTCAACTCCGTTTTTGGGCAGTTGGCCCACTGATCCCTGTCATATTGCGTCAAACACAACGAGTTACCTTTCCTGTAGTCAACACTGAAGCCTGTGTAGGCCACATGGCGGTCGGAATGGAAGAGGATGGACATGACATTCCAAGAAGAGGTGAACTGTGGAGGAGGGATGTTGCCACAATATCTCCCAAGGAGGTTGCCCTCATCCTCAGCTATGCCGTTGTAGATCTTTATATAGTCGTAGGCACAGTTAGCATGGTACTCCAGCTCAAAGTGGTGAAAGGTCAGGAGGACGGAGGAGCCTTCTGGCACAACAATAAGCCAGGAGCAGTCGATGTTGTAGGGATACAGGCCTGGGAAGTTTGGACTGGAGACGTTGCCGGATGGTGCAGAGAGGATTCCTCCACATTTCACACCTTTTTAATGGAAATAAAGTCGACTTTCAGTTCAAGAGAAAAGTAGTCCAAAAACGATTCATGACTCACTTCTTGCTCATTTAGTCATTTGACTTCTTTTTTTTTTCGCAGACTGACATTGACCAATAGCGCCCAACTTTTGTATATAAAGTACCCGCTAGACGGAGTATTTGCATCACAGTTAGGCTTTGCTCCATCAAGATAACAAATAGCCACTCACCTTTTTTGGAATCAGCCTTGTCGACAAGCAGTAGAAAATTAATCAGGAGAGCCACCCTGAGACTCATGTTGATGTTGTTGATTCGGCTTTTGTCACGCCTTGGCGACAATACCAGCAGAGACAAACAACGCGAGTGTCAGAGAGCACAGCTTCGAGAAATCAGCAGCGATGCCTTTAGAGGTAATAGGACTTTGAAAAATTCATTCACTGCCTGAATGAGAAACCCGATACCTCCGTAGGCCACGCTTTGCCCTCTTCGCTAAATTTTAATGACTGATACCCAATGAGCACGGGTGGCTTGTCAGGAGACTGTTTGGAGAGATTGCATACATTTTTAATGACGGTCTCACACACGGTGAACATCAGCTGCAAGGCGAGTTGATAAAAGAAACAGGAAAAAAAGAGAGGAGGATTTGTCAATAGTATAAATGGCTTTATTTGAACAATGTGAGGGAGAGAAGATCCCAGAACAATGGATGTTGGGGACTAAGAAGCAACTATGTGGACTTTTCTTTTCTTTTGTTAAAGCAGCTCACGCACAACACAAAGACATTCACATCTCAACCTTGAACATTACTGTCTATAAATAAATGTACTGTTTTGTTAGATGTGTCTAGATTAACAAAAAAGAGATGAACATCTCAGTTTATTGCATCCTTTTTTAAGCTTATTGGACAATGTATTGTCCTCTACATTGTAGATCAAAATCGAAGTGGGTGAATGTTGGTTTATACATATTATAAAAGCACATCAGCAATAGAGTAAAGTCCTTGCATAATTACGTTATATTACATGTCATTTAGCTGATGCTTTTATCCAAAGCGACTTACAATAAGTCCATATCAACCATGAGAACACAAACACAAAAGAACAAGAAACAAGAAAGTGCAATTTCATAAAATAAACTGATTTACAACTCGCTATAGATATGAGCCATTCTAAGTACAATTTAAGTGCTACGATTTTAGTCTTTTTAGTCGAGGTAGAGTCTGAAGAGGTGTGACTTTAGTTTGCGGCGGAAGATGTGAAGGCTCTCTGCGGTCCTGATGTCATCAGTCATCAACATAATCAATTGTTCCCTGTTGTTACTGGAAGAGTGTAGTTCTTAATCTTCTGTTAAATTTTGGTTCTAAGTAGTTAGAGAGATGAAGGGCTCTAAATTAAATCAAGCCTGAAGACCATTACAAGACTAACAGCCATAATAGAAAAGACTCCTTTTTCAAGTCTTGGACGGGTGGCACCGACAGGTCTTGACAATTATTGGACCTAAGATTGTGGGTATTTTATTCAGATCACATTTACACGGGCAACCTGCATAGAATTGTAACTGAATCTCGGAGGTATGGAATATTACTGAGCCTGAGATGAAAAGTTCCAGAGAAAGGTAGTTAAAAGGGACTTGATTCATTTGCAGACTCGGTTAGTCGGTTGCTTGTCAAACGTTTGGTGAGAAGTTTGATGCAATGCTCATGGTCGTCGATTGAATATGACGCTACAGCTAGCATAGCTTAGCACAGAAACTAGAGGCCGGGGGCAAACAGCTAGCGAGGCAGGTAAAATAAGAGTAGTACCACCTTAAATATGCATTGTTAGATCTGGGTTCAGGTCGGTGGGTAACTAAAATCGTATCTCACGATGATCCTTTTAAGTGTCACCAATATTCCATCCTTAGTTGTCATCTTACATTTAAATGTATGTATGTGTTACAGCATTTGCATTCTATTATAATAAAGAAATACTCTTTAACCGCTACAAGAAATCCTTCTTGTCACTATAGTGTTTCTGTTGCCACTGAGACTCACACATGCAGCTTGCACTTGAGTAGAAAACAACATCCCTCATCTTGTTCACTCTGCGCTTATAGCTGTGCATCCTACTGTGTATTCAATTAACTCACATTATGTTTTAAACATGTAGGTCTTCTTAGCTGTCCAAAAAATGTAGTTCAGCATTATTACTAAATAACAGTGACTTTATATATAAAAACAGAATTGTGCCGCTTACACTTTCCTTTTCCTACTCTTTTGATTGAATTAAACAAATAATTCAATTTTTGCTATAAGTTTTTCAATTCCAGTTTTTCAAATTGAATTGGTCACTGCAAGGTCATCATCTTTTAATGCAAATTTTGTTTAAACTTTAGTTTTCCTTTTTTGGGGACCAATGCTGAATTGCCTGTCAGGCAGAGATTTCTCAAATGCCTATCAGCTCCCCTGACTCATTCTTCCTCGTTTTTTCTTTTTTTAACTGAACAGGGCAGACACATGTGAGCAATCCTAACTCAGCGTATAACAGACAGGGAGATAAAGCACTCAAGTAAAATCCTGTTCTGCAAATGCGTGTTTGCTATTCCAGCGGTTCTGTGAAGGCTTTTAGAGTGAATATGTAATGGCTTTAGGGAGAAACCCTGCACCCACAGAGACCTGCTAGATGGTGCTGTTACACTGTGAAAACACTGTGAAAATCACCACTGGCTTTTGAAAAACCATGCAGCTCCATGATGAAATAAATAAGACTATGATTCAAATCAGTCAAGTGTTTTTTCTCACAGCAATCCCTGGAACTAAAGTTAACCGCCCTGCCTTTGAATTCTTTCCTTGCTGAAAGCTCGTAATTGTTCAAGCATGTGAGCACCAGGCAATGCTGAAATGTGTTTTAGAAAGATATCTTTTTTTTGGAGAAATTCAATCATCTATTAGTAACTAAATACTCAAAAAACACAAAAATTGTGTTACAAAATTCCAGTAAAATATAGGGGAAGGTAAATCAAACAAATAGCAGCCTTTAGAACTCAAGCAGTTTGATTCAATGGTTGTTCAATAATATAGGTTGTATAATACTATAGTTATTTCTATCTATTACCAACTAGTTGGCAGGAGGAGTGTTGACATATGTGTGTGTGTGTGTGTGTGTGTGTGTGTGTTTGGGTTGTTGTTGTTGTGGATGGGGGCACTTTAGCGGTATGGCGTCTGTCATCGTTTCATCCACAGATGATGCAAATCTAGATTTTTCTGTTTTCTTGGAGACATTTTAATGAAATGTAATTTGTTTACAAAAAATCTTTTCCAGCTAATACATATTACGTTCTACTACATGCTGCTACACCGGAACCATTGGTAACGGCTCACTCTGATGAATGTTCTCTCAAGCTCGTGACAGTCGGGGGCAATGAGATGAACGCATAAACATCTCTGTCGGAGGACAATAACGTTTCTGACACAGCCGGCAGCCGGGCAGAGCATCTCCATGCCACCCCCAGGTGCTCAGGATGATATGATGTCTTAGGGAGAATGATTTATATTTTAATAATGTTTAATGTATGGAGTGTTTCTGCAGAAAAAGCCTATAAGGATAACTCAATTTCATAATGCGTACTGTTTGACCGTAGGACGGTGTTTAGTACAGTGTTTTAGTGTATATTCTTTACATATCTAGCTGGATTCTTGTCACCTGTTTCAGCTGCTTTTTGAACTTCAGCATCACAACCAAATTTCTAGAGCATGTGTGGCAATTTTGTGCGCCATCCAAACTGAGTGTATACAAAGGAAACTGTACTTTCTCCAGCTGGTGCGAATTTACAGACAGAAATATTGTTTCTTCTCTCTCACAGGGATTTCTCTGTACCACCTTCATCACGTTTCCACCCTCTCTCCCTACCAAGGACAGTATTGATATGCCTATGCACCTGAAATTCAGGGAGCTCATAGATTGGATTATGGACCATAATGAGCTAAGCCTCTTTCCATACTTATGAGGGCAATGAAATCCGTTATCTGGACTAAGCGACAAAAGGGAGAAAGATTTGACTTCCCATGAAAACCTCCACTACTCTCAGCTTAAACAGGATGATGTGTTATGTTGGTGTTTGTTTTAGCTATAATACAAGTTATATTTTTATAATGTGAATACGTATCAAAGGCATCACAAAAAATGACGCGGAAACAAAGTAAAATGCAAAAAAGGAGATTGAGGAAAGGATTTAGGATTTAGCTGGCTCGATTGGAACCTTTTTATTACTCATAAAACATATTGCATGTAAAAGTAGTTTATTTACTGCTGCAGCAAAAATATTCTCTCAAAGATTGATGTTTGGCATATTTGATCTCAATCATTGTTACAAATACAAAAACTACAATTTTGAGAAAACAATATAAAATGAATACACAGTACACATACTTTTTTTCCAACCAATGGACAGCAACAAAACTGAAAAAGTAAATGATTATCAGATCTGTCAGATCATTAATTCCATCACTAAGTAATAGCTTCAATACAAATGTTATTTTTATGAGATAGTGTTCAATCAAGTTTGTTTGAAAAGAGAAAGGCACAGGTGTAACTGACTGTTAGCCATGGCTGTTTCATTTGATTGCATCAGTAAGCCTCATCATTGAGCAGTACAAACTAATACCATTAGTTTACTTTTTCTTGTTAGTCAGAAAGTTTGTCAGAAAGTGAACACAATTGAACGGGGCAGAAATAGAGGCAACCGGGTTTTTCAGACCGAGTGATGCGTACGTTGCTAACAAGTTGGCTCTTTTAAGAAGAAAATGAAACGCAGCTTTAAAAAAAATTCTGAATACATTTATTTATTTATTTTTAAATAAAAAAGCTGGACGCTGAACAAATAACATTATTAAACAAAGTATACATTTGATTTTATGTTTAAGAATTTAATTTAAGAATGTTTTAATTGTGTGTTATTTTTTCTATACGACTATGATTGTATCCCACTTTTTAATTGTCGATATCAACAGATAATTCAATGTAAACCAAACCTAATTTTAATTCGACAGAAGTCTTTTGATGCTAAGCCAATCCAACTGCTTCATATTCAATGTTCAACGTGGCATCGACCTTCATCTAACTCTCAAACAACCCATCTCCTGCTGATCCGTTAAATATCAACAACACTCCAATATACCATGTGTCATCTTGCATTTGAATTCAAATAAAAGTGTTACAGCATTTGCACTTTAATGTAATCAAAAATAAAAAACCCCGCAGTGAGAAATTGTCCTGTCACTACTGTTCCTGTTGCTGCTGGGGCTCACACCTGCAGCTTGT